TCTCGAGAGCCGTGACTAATTTATTTCAGTGCTTTAAATACATTGTTAGCGACCCCCCACGCCCTCTGACCGAAGAAGACATCTGGTTCCAGATTGGCCATGTTCACGAGCAGCAGAAAGACGTAAGTCGTGCTTGCATTTACTCTTGGTTCTTACCTTGTGCTCATGGATCACTTAGTTTGAATCTGCTCAATCCGCTTACCAGCGTGTCCTTGAACGGGATCCAAACCACGCCAAAGTCCTCCAGCAACTTGGATGGCTCTACCACCAGCAGAGCAATGCCTTCCAAAGCCAGGAGAAGGCCATTCAGTTTTTGGAAAAGTCGGTCAATGCTGGTAAGCACACTTTCAATCCCCCATCCGGATTTCTTGCATCGAAACTAACCATTTTTTTTTTCAAGACAACAATGACGCTCAAAGCTGGTATCTCCTCGGTCGTTGCTACATGTCCATGGCGAAATATCCCAAGGCTTATGAAGCCTATCAGCAAGCCGTCTATCGCGATGGCCGCAACCCTACCTTCTGGTGCTCTATTGGTGTTCTTTACTACCAGATCAACCAATACCGCGATGCTCTCGACGCCTACTCTCGTGCGATCCGCCTGAACCCTTACATTTCGGAGGTTTGGTATGACCTAGGTACTTTGTACGAGTCATGTAACAACCAGATTGCCGATGCCCTGGATGCCTACGGACGCGCCGCAGATCTTGACCCGAGCAACGTCCACATCAAGGCTCGTCTGCAGCTGCTCCAAAGTCAGTTATCTGCTGGCACGGCTGGACAGCAACCACCCACTGCTCCAGCGCCTCAGCCGCAGGATGTACATCCTCAGGCTTATCAAGCACCAGGCGTTGGTGCACCTCCTGCTCCCCAGTGGGGAGCCCCAGCCCCCATTGGCCCCCCTTCACAAGCTCCTGCTCCCCCGAGGCAGATTCCTGACTGGAACCGTGGTATTAACGAGCTACAATCTCAAAACCAAGCTCCCCCGTCTAACGGTCTTGACCAGCGCGACGCCCGGATCCCCGGTGCTCCCGCTCAAAGCCCTCGACAGGAGCCTGGTCGGGCGTTCCCGGATCCCCGTGGCACGGCTCGGTCGCCAAAGATGGGTGATCCCAATGCTTACCCGCCGCCTCATACCCTACCTCAACTTGGAAATGCTCCTGGTCCAGGCCACGAGCGCGCTCCTAGTGGCGGCAATGCCTTCAATGCCCCACGAGGTACTTTGCCGAGTGGTCTGTCCGTTGCTCCTCCTGGCCCCCCTGGACCTCCTGGGCCCAATGGCGGTGCTCCTCCCCCTCCTTATCAGAATCGTCCTTTCAGTCCTGCTCCTGAAATCCGCCCTATTCGCGACGAGCGTCCCTCTTCGCCAGGGTCGGGATATCCTCTCCAACAATTTCACCCAGGTCCTACACTCCCCCCACAGGTTCCAGGCGGTAACTCCATCGCCACCGGTGCTCCGGCCCCTGCTTCAGCTGCTACTGCTGCTGAGGCTGCCGCCCGTGATCGCGAAGATCGTCCCCCATCTGCAATGAAGCGCGGCCGCGAATGGGAGGCCGAGGCTGGTCCAGTCAAGAAGCATGCAAATGAGGAAAGTCGCGCTCGTTTGGATGACCAGAACAACCGCCGCCCGAGCCCACCTGCTCGTTTGCCTTCTCCTGGTGAAATGCAACGACGAAACTCCTCAGAGGCTCGCCGCGAAGACGCCCGTCGTGCCAATGAGAACTATCACCCCTCAGATGCCGCTCACCACCCCCCTACTCTGCCTTCAATCCAAGACATGCCTGCCCGGCCTTCTGCTGGCCCTAGTCTTCCCCCGATGGCTGAGACCTCTGCAAGCGCATCCAACGCTCCCCCCTCTGGACCTCCTCCTTCCGCCAACACCCCGGTCAAGGAAGAAGTTCCTCGCTCCGAGGCTCCCCCGGCTCACGAGCCCCCCGCGCGCAAGATGGATGTGGATGAAGACTACGATGACGAAGTTGAGGAAGAGAAGAAGGCTGCTGCTGCTTCCAAGGGCAGCCCCAACGGCAGCACTGCTGGCAACCCCGCTAATGGCGCTGGCAATGCCCGTGCCAGTACTCCATCGAAGGCCGAGCCCACAGCATAAAAAGTCTTTCTTTTCCCGATCAGACAAGTTTGATCTGGTCAAACCTGGCAAATCCTATATCTCTCGCTTCCTTCCTCCTCCCTGTCCTTTCTATCTTTCAGTGTGTGTGATGTACGGTATGAATGTGCGAGCTACGACGACTACCTAGTTTTAAGTGCGTGCGCTGAAAACTCGTCTTGTCTGTTAGTTCTCTTTTTTTATGATTTCCTATTCTCCTTTCACTGTGAATTCTTTTTTTTAAATGGTGCAATAGGCATCCTTGAAGCAAATCATTTGTTTGATACTCCGGAAATTGGTAGAGTAACTTCATAACATTGCCTTTTTTTTCGTAAAGTTGTATCACTGTCTTAATAATTACTGCTAGTCTGTAGTATTCTGTATTGTATTTCGGTCTATATTTCATTCCAGCCCACAATGTGGATGTCCTGAAACCATATTGCTGGCCGTTTGCCTTGGCAGCAGGAAGACCCATAAAAAATCATCTCAGGCCCGGAAAATCTGGACGACACGTGACAAGACGAGGGCTGAGTTGGATAATTTGGGTTATTGTGGGGTGCCTCAGGCTTGCACACGCCAAGCGTCTCGCTTAGGTTAGCCCACACACCAAAGCGTGCAAAATCAACTTGAACATTTCCAGATCGTCCTCCCACCACCTCGACGACTAACGATAACAGGGTCAAGATGTAAGTGTATCCCGATTGAAGGATCATATACAATCGCTATTGAATACAATTGCTGATCTGCTTTCGCTATTTAGGAGTCACCGGAAGTTCGAAGCGCCTCGTCACGGTTCGTGATTACCTTTTTCCTCGATATCGAAATTTCGAAATACCGCCTCTGTGTGTTTGCAATATACTGATTATATCTTCAGGCTCCCTTGCCTACCTCCCGCGCAAGCGCGCTGCCCGTCACCGTGGTAAGGTCAAGAGGTCAGTACTTTCTGAATGAGTTCGTGATTTGTGGATTTGTGTGCTCAGACTTTTTTTTTGCGACAGCTTCCCCAAGGATGACGCCAAGAAGCCCGTCCACCTTACTGCCTCTATGGGCTACAAGGCTGGTATGACCACCGTCGTCCGTGACCTTGACCGTCCTGGTGCCAAGATGCACAAGAAGGAGATTGTCGAGGCCGTCACCGTCATCGAGACTCCTCCTGTACGTTTTCCCCGTTGTGTGCTAAAATGAAGGAAAGGAGGGAGTAGCGACCAGGCCCTAACATCTTTTCTTTCCAGCTCGTTGCCGTCGGTGTCGTCGGTTACATCGAGACTCCCCGTGGTCTCCGCTCTCTCACCACCGTCTGGGCTGAGCACCTGAGCGATGAGGTCAAGCGTCGCTTCTACAAGAACTGGTACAAGTCCAAGAAGAAGGCCTTCACCAAGTACGCCAAGTCCCACGCCGAGAGCTCCGGTGCCTCCATCACCCGTGAGCTTGAGCGCATCCAGAAGTACTGCACTGTCGTCCGTGTGCTCGCCCACACCCAGATTCGCCAGACTCCTATCAAGCAGAAGAAGGCCCACCTTATGGAGATCCAGGTCAACGGTGGCTCCGTCTCCGACAAGGTCGAATTCGCCCGCAACCTCTTCGAGAAGACCATCGACATCGATTCCATCTTCGAGAAGGACGAGATGATTGATGTCATCGCCGTCACCAAGGGTCACGGTTTCTCCGGTGTTACCTCCCGTTGGGGTACCACCAAGCTGCCCCGCAAGACTCACAAGGGTCTGCGCAAGGTCGCCTGTATTGGTGCTTGGCACCCTAACCACGTCCAGTGGACTGTTGCCCGTGCCGGTCAAGACGGATACCACCACCGTACCTCTTGCAACCACAAGATCTTCCGCATTGGAAAGGGCTCTGATGAGGGTAACGCCTCCACCGAGTTCGACATCTCCAAGAAGCAGATCACCCCGTATGTTCCTCCTTGATTTTTTCGGTGCTTGATTAATTTCTAACTTTGCTCTAGCATGGGTGGCTTCGTCCACTACGGTGAGGTCAAGAACGACTTCGTCATGGTCAAGGGCTCCGTTCCCGGTGTCAAGAAGCGTGTTATGACTCTGCGCAAGACTCTGTACCCCCAGACTTCCCGCAGGGCCACTGAGAAGGTCGAGCTCAAGTGGATCGATACCTCCTCCAAGTTCGGTCACGGTGCTTTCCAGACCTTCGAGGAGAAGAAGGCCTTCATGGGTACCCTCAAGAAGGACCTTGTGGAGTCTGTTTAAGATGTTTAAGCCTATGGTTGGTGGCAGTGCAACGTTTCATATTCAATAAAAAAGCGAATATCCTTCACGATTTGCATGTAGCTGTATACCGTCTAAAAATTTAAAATTATATCCAACATGTATTCGTCTAGGAGAACTTCCTGCAATCAATTTTTATCCGTTTCTCAACTTGTTTCTTGTGTTTACCAATCGTTCCCCAACACTTCAAAATATATATATCTCTGGTTTGGGTGTATTGCACATGCACCCGAAATGCTAAACTTCATTTTTTCCTTCCTTGACTCCTCCTAATTCTTAATTTCTCTATGGCTCTAGCTACATTCTCAAAACCCCTTCAAAATTTTGATTTGGCCCAAAAAACCATCTGCCCATCTTAGCAGGCCGGGGGTGAACAAAATGTGCCAGCCCAAGGTCCATTGCGTCATTCCACACTTTTTCCTGCCAGCCCCAGCAAGAAAACGGACTTTGCCAATCTCATCTTTTTCTCCAGGATCGAAATTTCAAAGCAAATATTCTCCACCTCAACACCGTCTCCTACACTGTCAACACTATCAAACGAGCCCAAGAACCTACACCTCAAACACAGAGCACCAAACCAGCCTCTTCCCCGCAACCTCAAGACCACAACCGCAAATAAGATCTTCCCTCTCCATTCAGTCCCCCTTCTCAACTTCAACACAGACTATGTCCTCTGACGACGCCTACATGTCCTTCCTGGACAAAGCCAATGCAGATGTGAGCGGCAGCGCCCCGCAGAAAGGGTCCGGCACCGTCAAAACCGAGACCGTGCACAGCTCCCTGTCAGTCCCAAAGCCGCTGCAGTCCGTCGAAGCATACTACATCTCCGATACAGACGAGCCCTTCGAGCCCGTGGCATTGAAATGGGATGGCGCTGCCGAGGGAGCGTGGCCTAGTGCTGGTATGTCCTCATCCTGATCCATTTCCACCCCCTAGCTCCGCATCCTCCTTCATGGATCTGCTCCCTTGAACCCCCCAAGATAAAACATTGTAAAACCGCCCTGCTAACCCATCCCCTTCACTGCAGACCAGCTCTCCTCCCTGATATCCCCAGATACCGACCTGTCCCAGTCCATCTCCATCCTATCCCCCTCTTCCTTCGACCCGAAGAATCAATACTCCGCCGCCCTAGATGCTATCCGCGCCGCGGCTGTCGAGAAGGATTCTGGTGCCGATCAGTCGGCTGTCGGGCTGAAGGTCTACCGTGTTGAACAAACTAGCACCAAGATCGAGTACTGGGTCCTGGCGCTCCATGCGCCTCAGAGCCGTCTTGTCGGTTTGCGCGCCAAGGCCGTTGAGTCTTAGGTGTTCTAGTTGTTTGTATCCATAATGAGGTCTTGGGAGGTAGTTTAGGATATAGGCTTAGTTTAGCTGTTTGATGTGTCACTGTTCATTCTACGAAAACATGATATTGATACTCTATGAGAAAGCGTCAAGGTATATCGGCACGAATTTCTTTTTTGCCTTGGGGGTTTTTTTTTCAAATTCATTACATTGGTATGGAATGTATAATCAGAGGCTTCATCGCAATATGTCCTTGGTATAAGGTGGTCTTGACTACTTTTGGTTCGGAATTTGTCGCATTCTCAAGCCCTGATGTTTGAGGTTTGGCAGAACGCGTGTCAATGGCTGTGCAAAACAGGTTCAATTGGGGGACTAGCCTTGAATAGAACAAAGCTGTCGCAATCACTTTTCTCTCTCTCACCATTGAGCTCGTGATTGCTCGTTTAAAAAAAAAAGAATCGTCAGCCGTATTTGCGGCTTTTGTGACGTCTTTTGGTTATATCTCACTAGACATCTTATTTTCACAGATGTTTTGTCCTCGTCAATTTAATAGAAAGCCAGCTGGAAAATGTGGAAAGAGATTTAATTTGTGAATTGGACTTTTCTGTGTAAAACCTTGGTTTACATGTATATCTCCATGTTCGATGTTGCGCTGGTAGAATGGGGTCTCGGGCCGTGTTTCTCAATCTTCCCGACTGATTCGCCCTTCTCTTCAACAGCTCCCCCCCGTATATCCACACAGAGCAACCTCTAACTGCTAATATTGCTTCATCTGAATCTCCCCAGGTTTGTGGCCATGTCGATCCCCAAATTCCGGCCAGCATTCAGGGCATGCCATTCCTCGGGCCCTGGGAACAACGGGAATGCCGCACACCCTAGAATAGCCCTACGTAGGGCGTGATAGCCAGGACAGAGCCTCAAAACCACCAGTCGACTTCAATAAATTGAACCAGGCAGTCGATGATACACCAGGTATGGCTCTAGGTCTATGAGCCGAGTGTTGAACAATACTCTACTATCATCCACAGTACATCCCAAATACTCTGGGGGAGAAAACCATAGACATACCACTGGTTGCCCCCTTGGATTTCTGTCATTCCTGTCTCCTCGTGAGCCCAAACAAGATCCCTCGGGCCATCTAGGCTCTTCTTTTCTTCCGTGGTTTTGGCATTTTTTCTCCATTTAGACTCTGTTTGTCTCTTTAATCGTGTCGGCGACGGACATTCGATGCTGTGCGACCTGCCGTGTCCGTTCTTTCGCTAAACATCGCACTCATCAACTGTGCAGTCTACCGACTTAGTTCCTCAGTACTTACCGTTTAGCTGTATAGCAAAATCGTTGCGTGAGGAACCGGAGGAAGAAGAAGAAGAAGAAGAAGAAGAAGAAGAAGAAAAAGAAGAAAAAGAAGCAAGACAGCTCTTCGTCACACCAACCTGGCCCACGAATTGTATCTACGACTGATGCAAAAGAGCTATTATTGCGGCTACGATTGAAGGTAGAGAGCAAGGTCTCGCTAGCACAGAGCGAAGGAGCGTGTCGGAATTATCCAGGAACCAGAGGATCACCAGAAAAATGTCGGACCACAGCTCTGATAGCTCGGAAGGAAAGGTTACGCCTCATATCCGACTCAACTCGGGGCGGCAGGATCCTTTCCTCCAGACCAGTGAAGGCTACGCGCCTCTCACATCGCGGACATTTCCCCGACCCTTGACGCCACAGGGCCCCGAAACGCTCACAGCAGCGGGCGCTCTAGGGATGGCAGTGTCACCATACCGCACATCAAACGTCCCCGAGTCCTCGGAATTTCTCTTGCCCCCAAAGTTGAGACCTACGCAGGGACAAGGTGTGAGCAAGACTGATCGCCCCCGGTCTCCTGACCGGTGGTCTGCGGCTCGCTCGAGTACCAGCTCTATCAGTCGTGAGAGCACTTTCCCTTTGGATCCGTTCCACGATTCGAGGGCACCCTCGAACGCTGGTAGTGAGGAGCGTGACGTCAATACACAGACCGTGTCAGGGAAGTTCAACATAATGCCTACTGATGGGCTGCTGTTGTTCCCCGAGGACGTGGAGAAGGATGATTACTTGCATAATCCGGACCCAGCAGACAAGGACCGAGACTGTGACATCTGGAATCAACGAGGTATTTTGAATGTCGGTGGCTTGGCTGTCTTCACGATTGGCCTTCTGGTGCTTTTCATTGGTTACCCTCTCATGTAAGAAGTTATTGGCTTAGTTGACAATCGCGCTCCTTAGCTAACCACTAATCGCAGAACTTGGCTGGCCGGCTTCACAAAACATCATGATGGTCTATGCCACCCGGAAGACACGTTGTGTTTGGATGTTGGGGAGCGCCCATTGTTGGAAAACTTGCGCATGGGCTTGATTGACCCAGACACGCCGAAAGAGGCATACACCAAGAAAAATGTTAACGGAAAGGAGATGAAGCTGGTGGTAAGTTGTTTGAAAGGGAAATATCTACGACAATCGACTGAATTTTTGATTGCAGTTCTCCGACGAGTTTAACATGCCCGGTCGAACGTTCTTCGAGGATGATGACCCGTTCTTCCAAGCCGTCGATCTTTGGTACGGAGTAACACAGGACAAAGAGGTTAGTTTCAACAGAATTGAAAATCACCGCTCAAGTGCTAACACTGTCTAGTGGTATGATCCTGACGCAGTAACCACGGCAGAAGGCACCCTTCAGCTTCGATTTGATCATTTCGAAAACCACGGTCTCGAGTACCGATCTGGCATGGTACAGAGTTGGAACAAGCTCTGCTTTAAGGGGGGCCGTCTCGAAGCTAGCATGTCCCTCCCTGGGGATGGACACATCCAAGGGTTCTGGCCCGGATTTTGGGCCATGGGAAATTTGGCTCGTCCCGGCTATGCTGCAACCACTGATGGTTTGTGGCCATACAGCTACCATGATGGCTGCGATGCTGGCATCACCCCGAACCAGAGTTCTCCTGATGGTATCAACTGGCTGCCTGGTATGCGGCTACCTGGATGTGCCTGTCCTGGCTCTGACCACCCGACGCCTGGTATTGCGCGCAGTGCTCCTGAAATCGATGTGATTGAAGGCAGCACTGCCCCACTGTACGGTGACAGCGGTCCATTTGTCGGCAGTGCGTCGCAGAGTCTGCAGACTGCACCCTTCGACCTGTGGTATATGCCCGACTATGGTGAGTATTTCTCGATCTTTTCACTCTGCCATAAATCCACTCACCAAAAAAACACCAGACTTTGCCGCCGTTTACGACCCACGCGTCACCCAAATCAACGCCTACCGAGGCGGTGTCTACCAACAAGCTATGTCGGGCCTAACCAATCTAAACCACCGCTGGTACAACGGCACCGAATACCAAACTTACTCCTTCGAGTACACACCCGGTGCAGAAGGCGAAGTGACCTGGTTTGTCGGCGCCGAAAAGACTTGGACTCTGGACGGTCGCGCCATCGGCCCAAACGGCAATATTGGACAGCGCATGATTCCACTCGAGCCCATGGCGCTGATTATGAACATGGGTATGGCGGACAACTTCGCGCCGCAGAACAAGAGCATCATTGATTTCATGCCTGCTATCCTGCGCTTCGACTACGTCCGCATCTACCAGGACCCCGATGACGAGAGCGTTACTTGTGACCCACCGGGTTATGAGACGACTAGCTATATTGAACAACATCGCAAGGCGTACGATAATGCAAACTTTACGACTTGGTATGTTTATATCGCTGGTTTTATCTTCTTGTTCATGCTTTACTAACGATTGATCTTTCAGGGACGACGCCGGTTATCAATGGCCAAAAAATTCTTACATGCACGACTGTCCAGCTAAATAAACCTCATTTCCTCTTTCCCACATGATCTCCCGAGCTGTTGGTCGTTTAGCGGCATTTTTTCCTGGCGTTATTGGGTTTTTGACATCGCACTATATTTACTTCCGTCACTCATCACTGATTCAATCAAATCATTCAGCTCTTTTCACATCTTCCTTGCAGAGCCCATCTAAGATTTTGCTTAAAAGAGCACTACATTGGACGAATCACCATCTCCCGAATAGTGATGCTAGTTATCCACTAAGCCTAATTGGGGGGGGGACAACCCCGGCTATTTGAACAAATTGCCATTTTGTGTCATCACCGCCTGCTTTATCTGGCCACAATACGGGGGACCCACACCAATAGGGAACGAGGTTATCGCGTCAACAAGCTGAATCGTCTATATCTTAACTTCGATCTGAAGTGCCGTCAACATGTATGTTTGAACCTCCTTATTGAGGCAAAATTCCACCGCTGTCAACCCCCCTCCAGGCGATGACCAGTCTCTCTTGCGTTTACCGCCAACGTCTCTTTACCATCCACTGACACTGGCTATAGATAAATCCCGGGGTCATAGATTCAGATATGCATGGAATATTCTATCGATCACAGACGTGAAGCAAAGTCTACCACAGAGATCTTTCATTACTCCCACTCTCACTAGTCATTGGTTGCGCTTCGCCATCTAATCCCCGACTCTGCACCACTTAAAGATCCCGTCTCGGTCTGCTCTTCACTTGCCGCTGACTTAAACCTACTTCATCTCATTATTTTCAAAATGTCTGGCCAACACATACACGTCATCTCAGACACTGATACTGAATCTGAATCTGATGGCGGCATGCAACTCGACGACCTGGACCGCGTCGACGGCATACCAATGTACGACATCAGTGAACTTCCAAACGTGGATGGTATGCCAATGACCCGCCACCAATCAGACGATGATGTTTGGGGCGTGAACACGTCAAATGGATCAGACACGGGCATGTATCCCTCTTCCCTTCCTCGTTGTCAAGTCCAATTACGACTTATCTCTGTCTTTCCCGAACCTCATGAATCCTTGCTTGTGTGCACCTATTACACCTCAATAACCAGTCTCCACAATATGATACAACCACGTTCCAGCCTACAAACTAACCTCCAAAAAGGAAGATTTAATGGCCGCGCCCAAAACCCCCTCACAGCATCGTACAACCGGGCCGGCCCAAACGGCATAACAGAGCCCCAAACCGCCTTCGAAAAGGATGCCCGCACGCGCTCGCATCTCCGCGACGAAAAACATGCAGCACTGGCCGTCCTCATGGACAGTGAGCTGCTAGTTACATATGCGCTTGCCTCACGAGAAGTACGTCACTACCTAACGACCAAACTACCCCTGCCCTTGACTTCAACCCCACTCCCAGCTCCAGGTCCCATCCCTATTCCGGCTACATTCGCAGTCACGATCAAACCCAAACTAACACTGCCAAGACAATTCCTCAAACCCGCCGGCGGTTTCTGACAAAATATCTCGCACCAAACGACCCGGAAAAAGCAGAAGAGCTCTACGACCCGCGGTTCCATATCGCGCCCGATGGAAAGGGCGGGGAAGGGTCGCTTATTCGTGGTCGATATCGGGAGGTTATTGGGGATATTAATGATCATAACTGGCATAAGCCGGCGCATTTGAGGGCGATGGATGCGAAGAAAGCTAAGGGTGGTGGTTCGCGCTCTGTTGAGGCTTCGGGGTCTTATTCGGGTGCGAATTTGCCGAGGAGGGTTTCTGAAGGTGTCAGAGAGGGAGGGGCTTCATTGGCGGGGAGGAGTTCCGGGAGGGGTCCGGGTCGGGGAGTGGAGGATGAGGATGAGGATCTATGAGTTGTGAAATGACGCGAGTGGTTCTTAGCGTGCTACTTCTTGCATGGTCTTCTAAGGCTTTTTGAGACATTGAATTTCATTGTAGCGGATGCTTGACCACACTATTAGAGACAGAAATGATACTATAATGTTTGTATTCGCTAAAATCGATTAAATTTAAATAATTATACAGAGACTCCAGATCAGTGACAGAACCACCAGCTCAGAGAGGAAGAGGAAGAGAACAAAAGAAAGAGAAAAGGGGTATCATCGAGATCCAGAAAAGAGAATAGCTTCTCTGGTGGTTTGTTAATGTTCGTTCTCTCCCTCTGTCCATCTATTGAGATATTACCCGAGAGTCTTAGGCAAAGCAGGGGCACTGTGGTGCGCCTTGCGAACTCATCTTCGTATGCTGGTGAAGCAGCTGACCGCAGATGCAGCAGCTATCCAAATGGGAGGAACAGATTAAACAAGCAAGAGACCAGACGGGAGATATGGAAGAGCCAGTTATAAGACGGAGATTAGCCAAGACCAAAGCCAAGGCTAAGCCAAAGCCCGTCTTACATCTCTTCCTCGTCTCTCCTCCGCTTCTCCGAGTGGAACAGACTCTCCATGTCTCCTACTTGTTTACGCTCCGAAACCTCTCGGCTGAGCATGCGAGCGTAGTGGGCCTGGGCATTCATCAGTGTCAGTCCTCGAGACGGCGTGGGTTTGTATTCCGGATCATTGTAAATTGGGTGCAGGCGATGCGAAGTGGTGATCCGGATCCGACCGTCTCTCGTGACGGGTGATTGTCATTGCAGGGGTTCTGAGCTGGAAGAGAGGCGGTTAAGATGGAGGTAGACGTCGGTTCCGTAGCTGCGGGGGTCAATTAGTGAGGGTTTGACAAAAAGTGAAAGCAGAGAAAGAACACACCCCTCCATACTGATCAATTTCAAATCACCGCCAAAGTACCGTGCGTAGAGTCGGCTTATTGGTAGGCCATATCCAAATCCAGCCATTGGCGCTTTGAAGTCACTCTTATCAAAATCAGGTTCCAGGTTGGGCGTTTTCTCCACGGTAGTGTACATGTAGGTCCATACAAGGGGGATCGACGACCGAGGAATACCTCCGCCCTCGTCGGAAATTTTGATCGTGATGTCCTCTTTGCCTTCGGCAACGATGACCTTGGTCACGGGGAATTCATCCTTATCGGTACCGTGATGTTCAACGACCGCCCGAAGCGAGTTCTTGAGGGTTTCGAAGAGCATGTGTGATAGGTGCCCGGGAACATACATAAAGTTCAAGTCCTCCTTGCAGACCAGCTGCACCTTAGGCGACTCGAAGAGACCGTAGTAGTCCTCGCAGACAAAGCGGGCGTTTTCAATGGCCTCGAGCGCGATGTCGCGAACATTGGTCTTGGTACAAATTATTCCGACATAGTTGGGGTGTTTGACATGCGTTTGTTCCGTGAGTGCGATGTGTTGGCCAATTAGCATTCGTATACCAATTCTTGACATGTAAAACCGGTCGAGGAAGGACTGAATCGTGGAGTCGATCTGCATGCGCTGCCGCGCACGTTTCCATTCCAGAATGCCTTGCGCGACAGTGGTCACGACTCCGTCGTGACGTCGCTTGATCTGTTGGAGGGTCTTGGCAAACCGTTGGTTGTAGTCGTTGAGTTCCGGAGGCCAGTCCCCACAGCCTTCCGCAGCAAAAAAGTACCGTCGGCCTGCCGCGGCGTGCGCTTTTGCAACACCATTTCCATTGGTTGCGGTCACGGATGACCGGTACTGTCCTTCACGCACGCTGGGATTTTGAGTTGTCTCGGAGAGGATTTTCGAAGGGCCACCGTTTATCCGGCCTGGTCGCAAAAGGCGTGCTTTCACTTCTTGAGTCAGAGTGGGCCGAGGCAGAGCAGTGATTTCCTAGTATTCGGGTCAGTACATGGATCCGAAATTAATTGCCAATGGATGAGTCACATACCTCAAATGACTGCGCATACCAATCCTGGACTTTTTTGATCGATGGCATCTCACTCAGCCCATCTGGCAGCTCACCCAGATCCTGCACGCGATGTGCGAGACGAATTGGGAGCTCCTCGGAGAGAAATTGAGAGGCGCGGAACAGTGTACCTAAATGAGAGTTAGACCTTTACTGGGATACAGTGCCAAATCAGTTCGTAGTTCATACCTGTTGAGGGACGGTCACCGAATTGGACCATCTGCCTCAATGAGACACCTGTTGCGGGGAAGCTGGCATAGTGTCTGATGGTTTCCATCAGCCTTTCTGAAGGCTTCCACATGGTGGATATCTATTGGCCAAATGGCCTTGTAGGATATGGATGTTCAGAAAGAGTGTTTTCTGGAGAGAAGTGTCAAGGAGAAAGAGTAGTGCGAGTCATCGGAACGTTTTCACTGCCGAGGTTGAGTGGTCCCCTCCGCTTGCGCTCTCCGGGAGCCGGATGAAGATCACACGACTGGAAATAAGCAACGTATGATTTACAGAGCGATTTATTTGAGTGAATTTACTTAATGTCTCTTTCTTCTAATCGAACCTTCTAACAGAGAGGGGTATAATAATCCCTAAGGTACAACATATACAACTCCGTTCACCCGCAACGTTCAAGTTGACCTATGACATAACGTTGTGGCCTAAGGCACCCAAGTCACATGCGAGATATCAGATGGATGTTTCGAGGATATACATGTGAGCCAAGTACATCCCCAGCATATTTCTTAGGTGTCCTTTCTAGTTTAGCATACCGAATCACTGCTACCTTGTCCATAGGTCTGGCAATAAATCTACAAATCCCTTACCCGTGATATTCAATCGAATCATTTCGGTCTGGGCCAGGAACACCAACTGAGTCATTGTCACGCAAGAAGAGTAGAATGAGAACAATGGGAGAATTTAGGCTAATCAGATGTACAACATGGTGTACGAGACTCTATACTTGACATGGCCCGGTCTTATGTACCATGCGATAACTATGCTGATTTTCCCTCTCAAAGGCCTTTTGGTTGCTTTTATAGAAAAGTATATAGATTGTACCTTGAATTGGTAGATCGGATTTACAACATAACTATGTAACTATGCACCATATGACTCAGTCTATGTTATATAGTACCGTGCATACACAATCTGTTGGTACTTTTGTTAATTTTCCCCCATAATACCCCCCCTTTTTTAGCCTTTCAATAGCCATCGCTAAAGAAAATGACAGTCGTTGAGTGCCGCGTCTATCTCGCATTTCCCGGCGCCATCACTCTTTGTTCACCTTGATTGAACGATCATTCAGCTCCTCAGCTTGGAGAATCTTCGTTTAACATCCTACATACGTTATATCCCACAGAGAAGAAAGAAAAGAGAGAGAAAAAGCCATAAGATGATGATGCAACGGGCCACGTTCCCACCGCTACCCATTCGCCCGTTCAAAAGATCCGCTTTCTGGAGACTCAATATTCCCTTTTTGAGCTCTTGCGGTTGTCTAGCAATTATTGTCTCTGACTGGCTATTCTTCGGCCCCTCCTCCTTTTTTGTGTGCGTTGGCAGAATAAACCAATCTCCCTGAAGGAAAAAAAAGAAAAAAATCCCCCCCATCAATTGTGCCCTAAAAACCAGTCAAACTTCAAATCTTTCTTCTCTCCAATTCCTTGACAACCAGTGCACCGGTGATGATACTTTAACCCTCTCCCGGCATAGACATTGGGAGAGACCCGTCACCCCCTCCGAAAAATATACCCTCCGGTATCTATCCACACAAATGTCTCGCCGTCGAATATCCCACAGCGAAATGAACGCGGCCACCGCCTACCCCTTCATGCAGTCCAACGGTCAATCTGACGGCCAACACAACGGTCAATCAAACGGCCAACCCCCTCGCCGAGGTCCCATCGAAGGTCCCAATGGCCGTCGCCTCATCCGTCGCGTCACATGGCGCTCCTCCACATACAAGCTCATGGCCACCCTATGGGTGCTTGCCGTCCTCTATATCGTCTGGCTAGTCCGCGACCTCTTCTTACCCTCCGAATCCGAATCAAAACCAACCCCTCCCGTTCAACCCGAACAAAATTAAAGGCGTCGTGTGTGTGGGGGGACGGATTGCGTTTTGGATTGGGTGTTTTCTTTCCCGGAGTGGGGGGTTTATCCTTTGCGGGCGTTTGCGCGACCAAATCGGCTTCTTTTTGCTTCTGTGGATATTCGGGTCTGAGAAGGGTAGAGGTCTTGGGCATGGATGCATTGCGCTTAGGGGGAACACGGGTTTTGGCCTCCCCCGTGAGAGATTGCGCCGAGGAGAACACATCCACATGGCGGGCTTCAATTACCCTCGGTGGCTCCGGAGATACTCCGGGTTGTTCCACGGTAAGGGCGCCGCCGGGCAGTTCGGAGTGACATTATGCTGTCAGCTTTGTGACGTGCTGGAGTGGATTTGACGTTGTCGGTCTCGACGGACTATATCTGCTGTTCGGCACTCAATTGACCCAAAACCCAAACAGCTGTGTTTTTTCCCCCTCCCCTTCATTCTTTTTATTCGCATTACTTTCTTCATGATTGCATGTTCACAGCGTTCTATTGCATCTAGTTATGATTTCCATGCAGGCTGATAGCCGGAGCATTTCCATCTTCTCTCTTATTCATGTTTGGGCGGTTCAATTGCCAGGGGGGTTTTTTTTTTTTGCAGCAAAATCTTTGAATTTCCTACATCATTTCCCCTTTCTAGAATGATGTTTTTTTTCTCATCATTCAAAGTGTGACACTCAAACATTGACCCTTCTCCTAAGCCCCTCGAAGATTTGCGCGGGGCATCGGGGAAGCAGGGAAGTGGGGTGGGAATTTTCCCTCTGGAGATATCCACAAGTGGAACGTCATGCCTTGCATTTCAATTTGTATACACATTCCCTTCTCTTTTCAGATATAGGAAATTCCCATATCTGCCCATCTCCATCTTTGGATATAACCTTTCACTAATAGATGCACAGAATACGATTGTACTAAGGTACCTTAAACATACAGGGCAGAGGTCTCGCCCTTGGCAATGGTGCTCGCGTAGGGCTTGATGGCGGCGGCCACCTCGGTGCTGGTGAACTTCTCGACCTGCTGAGGGGCACGACCGACGAATGTGCTGGCGTCCAGAAGAGTGTCCAGCTGGGGGATGATGGGGGTGAAAAAGGCGGTGCGGCGGATACGCTCGATCAGGTCGTTATCCTTACCCTGCTTCTTGACGTTGTCGGCGGCTTGGTGGGAGAGGACACCTGGGTAAATTAGAGTTTTGGTTCGGATGGGAAGATTTGAGGGGCACAGAAACTTACGGATCTCCTCGTGGGCGTCTTGGCGGGAGAGACCCTTGGCGACACAGGCCATGATAATGTTCTCGCTGTGATATGGGGTTAGTGATATTCCGTTAGGTTTGTTGAGCGTATACTCACGTGGCCATGAAGGGGAGCTCGTCGTTGACGCGGCGCTTGATGACCTCGGGGTAGACAACAAAGCCGGAGGAGACGTTGTCTAGTGGTGGTCAGCTATAATCCAAGCTTTTAGTGATTCCAAAACTCACTCAGAAGGATGAGACATGCGTCAGCAGTCAGGTACAGCTCCGGGATGCTGATCCGGCGGATGGCACTGTCATCCTAGTAAAAGTTAATCAGATGTTCTCAATGAACCCAGGGGTATACTCACGAGAGAGCGCTCGAACCACTGAGCGGAGTAGGTATCCAAGCAGTCCTTGGGGAGGTTCTGCAGGTGGCGTCCGAGAGAGCACAGACGCTCCGAGCGCATGGGGTTGCGCTTGTAGGCCTAGGGATTATCAGCCAGCAGGTTCCAAAGAACACAACGGTCAAGCGAACTCACCATGGCACTGCTGCCAATCTGGTCTTTCTCGAAAGGCTCCTCAACCTCCTTGAGCATGGCGAGGTGACGAATGTCAATGCCAATGCGCTCGCAGGTAGCACCGAAAGAACCAAGAGCGTTGGCGACGTCAACATCGATCTTACGCGAGTATGTCTGGCTGGAGATGATGAAAGCGGAGCTGAAGCCAGCCTTCTCAGTAACAAGCTCATCCAGGCTCTCGACCTTGGCGTGGTCGCCGTTGAAAATCTGCAGGAAAGAGGCTTGAGTACCGGTGGTACCCTTGACACCACGGAAACGCAGGTCATCACGGGCACGCTCGAGGTTGCGCAGGTCCATGAGCAGATCCTGGATCCAGAGACAGGCACGCTTGCCAACGGTTACCAGCTGGGCGGGCTGACCGTGAGTGAAGCCCAGGCAAGGAAGGTCCTTGTACTGCTGAGCGAACTGGGACAGCTTGTCGATGACAACAGCCAGCTTGGGGATGAGGATGTCGAGACCGTCGCGGAGCAGGATCAGATCGGCGTTGTCAGTGCAGTAGCACGAGGTGGCACCCCAGTGAATGATACCGGCGGCGGCGGGGGCAACCAGGCCAAAGGCGTGGACGTGGGCCATGACATCGTGTCTGCGGCGCTTCTCCTCCTCGGCGGCAACGGCGAACTCGTCATCCTGGATAATCTCGTGGGCCTTCATCTGCTCGATAGCCTCGGCGGTGATAGGAAGTCCGAGCTCTGTGGCCATGATTCAGTCAATTTGGATGATCTTGCTTCAACTACCTCCGACCTCGGTTGAGGCTCCACCTTCCCGTACCTTTTTGAGCCTCCGCGAGCCAGGTCCAAAGCTGCCTCCATGTGGAGAAGCGCTTCCGGGGAGAGAAGAGATACTTCATCTCATTGCCTGATCAATTGAGTTTGATTAATTCCAAAATATCAATTTCCGGGGTTACCCCTCCATGGGAGGGGCAGTTGGGATCAACTTACTCGCATAGCGCGAATTGAGGGGGGTCTGGTAGATATCGTTACTTCCGGACATTTTGTCGGTGTTAAGTTGAGACGCTCAAACGAAGGATTGAGCAACAGGATGGAGAATAAGACAAGGCAGCAGGGAATTTTGCTGAAGTCCGATTTTGGCGGGGCTTATCAGTCACGTTATCGGAGATGATCCATTTCTCACATGATACCAGATATTCCTTAATCGGGTAACATAATCGCAAAGTAGACTACGCACTGCACTGGATTTGTCTCAATTCATGAAGACTCACTAGTTACCTCATAGAAGCTTTTCGCAAGCCAACGAGCGAAACTGTGGATCTAATCAGAAGAGAAGAACTGAAATGGGGATTGGAATGAAAATGAAATGGACGGGTGAGATGTGATTTTGTTCTGGTTCTCAAACCTCGGGTTTGCCAAGAAAAGGTGGATGATTCTATTACCCTCTTCAAAACCAGTCCATGCTGCATCTGAGGCGATGAATCTTGACCCGTCGGGCAGAAGTAAAAACCGGACGATCACCCTTGTTAAAACGAGAAAGTCAAATCCGAAGAGAAGAATTGAGACAGGAATTGGAAGGAAAACAGTCGGATGAACGGGGTCCTAGGGTGTAGTAAATCAACCAGGCCTTACGCGCAAGGGTCACTAACCCACATGAACCAATAAGAAACCTCGAAACAAACAAAACATTAGGTATATTGACGTTTAAATGGCGGGCAATGAGCCACCTGGGGAAAAAAGATGTAGTGGTTGCATGCATTATTATGGTATTAGCTGGTATAAGGGACAGTCCTCCGCGATTGCAATCTTCGCTAAGGAAACTCAAGACAACTGCGCCAGCTGTACTGATAGGCTTGCCTTGTCGTACTTGATGTATTTGCCACGGCCTTTATCGATCTCCACATATCGATCGTAAAAGCGCGCATACAAGGGCTCGAGAACAGTCTGCAACTCACGAGTCAGCGCAGTGCGCACCTCGCGCTCCATGTGAAGGGTTTTGTGTCGAGACACCATATCATCGAAGCCTGCGTTGAACGCTTTGAACTTGTCCTTAATCGCATCTTTATCCTTGGACGACAGAGCCTTAACGATAGCGCTTGAATCGACGCTGCCACTAGAATTGCGCTGCGCCCCACGAGAGGTATATTGCACATCAAGAAGATACTGGGATATTTCCTTCCATGCATCGAGATAGGTAGATGCCGCACGCTTGCGGAAAGTGTCGATCCGGGCGATACTGTCGGGGGTACCCAAATAACGTGCCAGCTCGGAGCTCTGTCGGATCGACCGGTCGACCACGCAGAACACGTTGGACAAGAATACACCAAGCGCTGCCTTCGATCGATGGAAAGCCCGACCTCGAGCTTCCAGGGAGGTCATCAAGGCTTCGATCATATCTAGAATGAAATGCGACAAAAGTGTGCCACTGTCTGGACCTACATCCAGAGGAGCCGAGCCGGCGGCGTTGGACTTGGCACGCCAGTTTCCATCTCCCAGAGAAGTTAGGATAGAAGCCAAAGGACCCGAGTATCCTGTTAAAGTGGCCAATGAGCTCATCACTTCCTCCACAAGAGGCACTGACGCACCGTCCGGTGAGAGTGGCGCGGTAGCAGCTTTGCGCTTCGTTTCCTCGAGTAGTTCGGAAAGTGACGACTTTGCAGTCTCGCGTACAGGCCGAAGTGCTTCTATCAAGAGGCTCTTCAGTTCCGCGGCCTTGGAATCAATCCGATAGGACATTGCAGTCACAATTTCGATGATCTCAAAAGCCAAGAAACAGTCCGTCATCAGATTGGCCTTTATGTACTGGTTGAGCTCACGGAGCGTTTTGGAGTATTCGCCCATAGCTGGGTAGAAGGTAGCCTGCAACGCCAGACCCTGCTGATCTCCGGTGAAAATCTGCACGATAATACCGTGCTCAGCATTTACGAAAGCCTCCAGCGCATTGGAATAGACACCAATACCATTTGTACCCTGTCTGTAAGGGCCATCGGTAGGTCGCCGTTTGACGGTATTGAGGGATGCAATGGCAAGATTTTGCAAGCTCGATGCAATGTATGGCCCTCGTACTTCCCCATACACCTTCAACGCGGGGTTATCACCATTGCCGCGCTGAGATCCATGGATGAATGCGGAGCTGACCGCAGAGCACAAGGGCGTCATATGGGAGATAGTTTCTTCGGGCAAGGATGGAAAGGGGAGATCTAGTTATGTCGGGCATCAGTTTTGTTCTAGCTCGTTTGGTCATGATGCGCGTACCTTTGGTCAGATAGTGTAGGGGCTCAACCGGAGTGGCATGCTGGCTCAGTTCTCCCCTTAGCAGTTCTTGAAGTTTTGTGCTTCCGGTGTTTAGGAGAGAATTAAAGTCGGTGATCGCATTCTGATTTGATCGTAGATTTGTTGTGTTGAGGTCGACCAGCGCCTTTTCAACACGTTTCATCGCCGACAAATACTGGGTGAGGCCGGAGCTCTGTGGTCTGAAGAACGATCAGCAAATGACTCGGGGCAGCATATCGAGAGAGAGTATAAAGGCGCATACCCTGCGCGAATGATGCCATCTTCTCGGTTCTTTGCATCGAGAGGCTGGCGGAGGCGATCGATGGCGTCGTTGATCTTGTCGATGTTGCTATTGGTGATTTGAAGGGATTGGGTGTTACTATAGATGGGACCAATGGCTTCTTTGACAACTTTTCCTCCTGTCTCCAGGCGTACCATGGAGCCTTGAATCTTCTTCGTGAGTCGGTTGAGTTTCTCGAGGTTGGCATACAGGACCTCGACTTCCGCGCTCTCCTCGGCGTAGGCAGTATTCCTTGGCGCCACCATGGTTAGTTGTGAAATGCAATGCAGGCAAAATCAATTCAAAGAAATCATATCAGTAATCATCCGGAGCCCTCATGTCCTTTGAGAGCAAATGGATTGATTGCATTGATTGTCCCCTCCAAGCTCCATCCAGTGATAAGGTCCGCAACGCTAGTCCCAAAGAAGCTAGAAGCACATCCCGACAGTATCACGTGGTTGTAGTCACGTGTGTGTACGACGTCATGCACCGGGGGCTGTGGCCTCCAAGAGAAGGCCGGGCAGGGGTTTGAAAGTCCTTCAATAGATCCCACTAGATGCAGCGGGCCTCTTACTTTTCTCGAAGCTTCCCGCCTAAAATGGGCGCTGCCAGGGTCACTCGTCTGTGGACGGTACCCCCCGTTGCGCTAGCTGCATACACTGCAAGGGAATGGTCTCAACCCAGACAATTTAGAGCTCAATTCACTACTTCTCGAACACTACGCAACAATGATTCAGAGTCTAGCAATTCAAATACGAGCTCAGATAGAATTGGTGAGGAGGGCAAGGATGAGAGATCCATCTGGGACAAAATCGGCCAAAAGCTCGATGAGGTTAAACAAACTGTTGGCTCCGGCGATTGGGTAGACGTGGGTAGTCTTACAGACTATATTATCCCAGACTGGACGCGATTTTTACCAGCTACTGTCCAAAAGCTGCAGCGAGAGCTTTCCTTGTCACCAGGCTCCCTGGCAGACGATATCTGGAAGGAGGCGCAGGACCCTAACATCAATCCAGAAATACTCCGCGACGCCGAGGTACGAGTAGGTGGGGACCTCTGCGACGAAGAGCGGGCATTTAGACAGCATCGACAACAGAAGGTTGTCAAAGCACTGTCATCCTACCTCAACATACCGGAGGAGGATATCCACCCCGAAGATGTACCAGTCATTGCGATGTGTGGCTCAGGAGGTGGTCTGCGCGCTCTAGTTGCAGGCACCGGATCTTACCTGGCTGCACAGGAAGCAGGGCTGTGGGACTGTATAACCTACACAGCCGGTGTCAGTGGCAGTTGCTGGCTGCAGACCCTGTATCATTCGTCCGTTGCGCAGCAAGACTTTGAGAAGCTTGTCGACCATTTAAAGAATCGTCTTGGTGTTCATATTGCATTCCCGCCGGCAGCTCTCGATCTCCTCACTACTGCGCCGACAAACAAGTACCTTCTCAGTGGTTTTGTGGAAAAGCTTAAAGGCGACCCTGGAGCGGACTTTGGATTGGTAGATATTTACGGAATGCTGCTTGCAGCGAGACTCTTGGTCCCGCGAGGAGAACTCGGAGTCTCCGATGTGGATTTCAAGTTGTCGAACCAGCGAGCCAATTTGATAAATGGGGCGCATCCGCTACCCATCTACACGGCGGTGCGACATGAGATTCCTGTCGAAGCCATCGACCACCCAAACGAAAAAACCAAGAAGCATCCAACGCCCGAAGATTTGGTGAAAGAGGCACGGAAAGAAGCATGGTTCCAGTGGTTTGAGTTCACTCCCTACGAATTCTTCTGTGAAGAACTCAATGCCGGTATTCCCACCTGGGCTTTGGGACGTCACTTCAACGCAGGTCGCTCTGAGGTTTCTGCTGAAAACCTCCCCCTCCCGGAGATGAGAATTACTGGGCTCATGGGTGTTTGGGGTAGCGCTTTCTGCGCGACTTTGTCTCACTATTACAAGGAGGTCCGGCCTGTGATCAGAGGCTTGGCTGGATTTGGTGGAATCGACTCTCTCATCCAAGGCAAGAACCAAGATTTGATCAAGGTGCATCCCATCGACCCTGCGGGTATACCCAACTACGTTATGGGCATGAAAGACCAGCTGCCCAACTCCTGTCCAGAGTCGATTTTTCGAAACGAGCACTTGCGTCTTATGGATGCGGGAATGAGCAACAATCTGCCAATCTACCCACTCATTCGACCTGGGCGTGATGTTGACGTGATCATCGCATTTGATGCATCTGCAGACGTTAAACAGGAGAACTGGCTTTCTGTGGTCGATGGATACGCCAAACAACGTGGTATTAAGGGTTGGCCTATCGGTACCGGATGGCCTAAAATTTCGAGCCTCAAGGATACTGAAAATGCCCTCCGCGAGCCAGAGAATATCACCAAGGAGCAAATAACAGAGAAACTTACCAACGCCAAGAATCAGTTTGGAACCCAGCCCGCTAATCAAAAGCCCACATCTAGCACAGACCTGGGCTATTGCAATGTTTGGGTCGGCACCACGGAAGAGCGAACCTCGAACAACAAGCCTCCACCATCCAAACGCCTATTTGATACTTCCCACAGTGAAGATCATTCCGAGTCCGACTTCCACCTGATGCGACCAGATGCCGGAATCGCGGTTATCTACTTCCCTTTGATTCCCAATCCTTCCGCACCACAGATCCCTCCCAAAGCCAAAACTCGTTCGCGCGTGGCTGCTCAGTCCATGCGACAGGATAGCTCTCAAACCAAGGACCCGGAATTGCCCCTCGCTCCACAACCCAACTCGATCGACCCTGCCGTTGATGATTTCCTGTCCACTTGGAACTTCATCTACACGCCCGAGCAAATTGATTCCGTCATTGGTCTTGCGAAGGCAAACTTCTCCGAGGGCGAAGAACAGACTCGCCGTGTTGTCCGTGCTGTCTATGAGCGCAAGAAATCCGATCGACTGCAGAAGGAGGCGGCAGAGATTCGGAAGAAGATGGAAGGCTTTGTGCCTCTGTGATTCTGGGCTCTTTTATCCCAGTCAGCTGTCGCCGGACCAAACTTGATTCTGGTTGAAGCTGTGTTTGATACCACGCCGTGAATATAGATGGTGCTCTTTGAAATGTTTTAATTCGCATGCTCCTATCATTTCTCTCATTTTCCGTTTCATTTTTCCTACTGGTTTCAGTTGGTAAAAACCTAGATTCCACACCCATCACGTTCCTAGCAAGCTGCGATAACCCTTCAACTATGTATGTGTAGTACTGGGTAAACGATCGGTTGTAGTAATTAAATATACAACGTAGTCGATTTAATGATATCTTCATAAAGGTCCTATGCACTACGTATTGCTTATGTATGTGTACAAGTCTTGGCTAACACTATTTCCCCCCATCCCTCACATCATTCGTTTTCACACCCTCAAGCTCTTCACAGTGCACTGGCTTGACTTTGACCTTCCGGTCTTCATCATCAGCAGTAGTCGTCGTCGTCATCTCATCATCACTTTCAGCAAGACTGACATCCCGACTAGCACTCATCTGCTTCCGTAGTCCAAGTTCCTTCTCAAGCGCATGCCCCAGTTCCTTAGCCTTGTCCGATATACTAGCAGCAGTGCTTCTCTGTGACGAACTCCTACAAGGACGCACATTCTCCTTCTTATCTCCCTGAGGCAGTCCATGCCAGTCAGGCGGCTCGCTTTCATGGATGGGATCACCAGGTTTGGGCTCGCTGATCGGCCTCCCCGCTGCTGGCACACTTTCCTCAATCTTCTTCCCTTTGCCCTTGGCTTTGCTAGCAATACTGGCTTCCACGGTCTCTGCCGCCGGATACCGCCATACAACCTTCAGCTTATCCAACGCCCGAATCCCCTTCCTTGCGCTCCCCTTGATCCCATCCATCGCATCCCAGTCTGTCTCGAAAACACCCGAATCATACTCGGCTCCGCCCTCGAAGTAGGAATTGAACCAGACGTGCGCGATCGAGGTTACCATCGCGAAGCCTGTGTAGGATGCCTTACTGCGGCGCTCAAAGTCGATGTTCACATCCGAGCTGGGAACAATGACTGGCTTGTTGGGTTTGAAAATTATTGCCGAGACACAGTGGCCTTGTGGGGACGATGAGCCGGAGATGTCAGATCCCGAAATCGGGGACCAGGTCGGAGATGAAGGAAGTGGCCTCTCGATCTTGGGGTTGGAGATGGAATTTGTCATGGTGATACCGTGCCCTTTGCCAGCATCTTGATCCTCAGATGTCGAGCCCCCATCTTCAACGATGGTACGTTCATTCCGATGGAACAGATGAAAACACTTAATCTTCTTCCCCTCATCCACATACCCCTCTACCGCAACCTTAACCCCATCTCTCAAACCCCAGATGTGGATCTCCAGGATCTCCACCGGCCGCTCTATATACTGCTTCCCCATCTCGTTGGCCCATTTCTCGATGTATCCGACATACCGCAACTGGCTGGGGATGCTGACACCGTTTCCAAAGCCGACCCGCATACGTCGATCCGTAAACCGCTGTAGCGCGTCTTCCTTCTTCCACCCCTCCTGACTGATCAGGTATGCGCACGCGATTGTCCCGCTGCGCCCCTTGCCTGCTTTGCAGTGTACGACGGCGACTCGTTCGTTTTTGTCTGTGTCTGGTGAGTTTGACTTTTGTTCCTCGTCTAATCGTTGTAGCCAGTTTCGCATGCTGCCCATTATGTTCGGAATATGTGCGAATGGTGGTGGGTGGTGGTCTGGCCAGGGGAAGTGGTGGATGCGTCCGTAGACTTCTGAGTCTGGGTATCCTGTGCCTTCGGCGCGGAACTCCCAGATGCACCAGTTTGTGCCATGTTTCGTGTCGAGAAAGTTGACCAGCGCGTCTAGTGGGTTGCGGTAGGCGCGCTGTGGGTATGTTGCTGATGGACCGGAGGTTGCGATGACTGTGTATTGCGTTAGAAGGGGTGTGTTCATTGGTGCTGAATTGATGGATATGCTACCCTTGTCTGTCACGTAGCAGAGATCTAGCCCTGCTTCTGGGTGTTGTTGTCTTGGACCTGCGACTATTTGGCGGAGAATTGATGACTGGGGACATGCCAATGTTAGTAGTTGGAAGGTTGTTGAGATGGAGCTGACGTACCATTTGCAGAGTGTTTTGGTACTTTGTAATTGCTTATTCCACCGGGATTGCTATGTGGTGGAAAAGACAACATGCAATTCAAGACAAGAAAAGCACAGCAAGCACGGGCTATTTTTGAGGCGTAGCGGATGATGTCACCGGGTCAATTAAGCACTCTCCACACGTTCTACTGTCTACAACAAAATATTGACCTACTCTATACTACTCTATCATAGCAACAAGTTCAATTCCTTTGTACATCGTACAGTCCCAGACTAAGTACACAGAAGAATTCCACCTGAAAATCCCGGAAATTTCCAATTGAACCACAGGTCGCATGCTTACCAAAACAAATTCAGACCCTCCGTAACATTAAGAAAACCCCCTCAGATCCCCCCCTTCCCCCCGATTCAAAAGAATTCAAGGTCAAGATATGTGGCAGTTTAGGCAATACCGTACTCCTGAGTAGGCTTCATAACAAACTGAATCGGGTTGTGGTCAGGAACTGTAACATTCTTCGCGCCATGTTGGAACCAGGTCGCGAGCGTACTATCGCTGAGCCGAGATCTCCAGGTATGGGTTATATCGACATTCCAGTCCGGGTTTGCAGCAGGGGAGACGATGGTCGTGATGTTCTTGTCATCGCAAGCGACCTTCTTGCCTGTGATGCCGCTGCAGTGGGTGCGGAACTTGGGGGTCATTGCGTTCTCGCGGCCGACAATGTCATATCTGTAGACGCAACCGCCTTGGGAACAGCCAATAGTAAAGTTGGATACGCTCCAGATGATATCGTCGGTGATTGTCTGAGTCTGTAGGACGGCCGGGCGTGCGGTGGCTAGGCCTGCCAGGACGATTGGGAGGATGGTAGTGAGTTGCATTTTGGATTATGAGGTTTGTTTATTTATAAATTTTTTGGGGGGTAGAGATGGGGGCGTATAAAATAAACAAGTGAGTGGATGTTTAGATCAACATGGGAGAGGGAGGGAATTATATAGTTGAAGAGATGGCAGACGCCTTACCCTTCCCCGACGGCTGCTCTTGGCACCCGGAAATGCACGCCGGTCACTTTCAGGGGAATGTTGTTAATGACCATTCAATGATTCAATCCTGTAGCGAACTTGCGATTTCCTGATAGATTTCGAATCTTCGAATAAACCGTTGTTTGAGATCCATCGAGGTCTTGCTTTCCGACAGTTACCCCATAATCGTCATCGAGGTCTTTCAGTCCGACTATTTTTAGTACAGGGATCCAGCCGCAGGGAACAGCGTGAGAACAGAGCAGGGAATTAAAATCACTATGATGCTGGGGCAAAATGTGAGTAACACAAGCACTAAGAGGCTATAGCACAAGATGTGTACACACTGGCCCAGGTCGAAAGTTGTGTGACATGCCCAGAAAGGGAATTGGTGCTCTGTTCCTGCAGGATTGTGTCGCTTTCACAAGCTGCATTTTCCAGGCAACATGCAGTGAAGGAAATGAAACATTCGATCGAGATTGAAACTCGCCCTCGAAGGACATCGAAAACATTCAACCAGTTTCACTCAGACTTGGCAGAGCCATTGTCGGTACCACCAGCTTCCCATTCATCCCAACCTTCCTCTCTCATGGTTTGCTCAATGGCAAGGCGACGTCGTTTTTTCTTTCGACGCTCTTTGTTATAATCACGTCGCTGCTCATCTGACATATTCAGCCGACGAACCGCCGGGGGTACAGGGTGGCGACCGGCTTTTTCGTTCACTTCCCTTTGCTTCTGTTTTTGCTGTAGCTCATCATCTAGCTTTCGCACATCGTCGCGAATGAAGGGGTGATACTGCAGTCGCATCGCAAACTCGTCCACAGACCCGGAACAGATCTCACGGATTTCCGCCTGTGTTTCAGGGCTGAGTCTAGCGTCCCGCTTCATGAGGTCCTGGAAGTACATGAAACCGGATCGGAAATTCCCCGCATCCAGACACATCAGAATGATAGATTCGAAGGTAACACCGTTTGGTACCACTCCAAGTGACGCCATCTCTTTCACCAGGAACATCCCCGATTCGCGGTTGCGGGCCGTTCGGCACATCCGAATTAGCGCGTTGTACACTCGCACGTCGGCGCCTTCGGGACATAACGTGTAGAGCTCTTTGTAGAATCCAACGCCGTCATCTACCACGGATGGATCGTCAAGGGCATCATGTTCACAGAGATCCGCGATGACACGCACAGAGTCGATGGGAATACTCCGTTTCGCATTCTTCAACCGCTTGAGAATTTGCCACGCCTCCCGACGATCAACTTTACTCTGGATCATGTGTGCAAGAACAGGCTCCGTGGAGCTATCTGCCAGAGAAATCTGTGCTTCGTGCATGGTGCACAGCGCTTCAAATGCAGCAGGCAGATCGCCTGCTGCCACGTGTGTCTCGACAAGTCCTTCATACTGTGTGCGCTCGAGCGGGATCCCGCTCTCACGAAGGTAACGGAACACAGAGTTTGCCATCTCTGTATCACCAGCCTTTGCTGCCATTTTCAACACGTCATCACAGACTTCAATCAACGGATGCATGTAGCCCAGTTCTACCATCCGTCGCCACACGTAGTGTGCCATGGGGTAGTGGCCCTGTTTCCCTGCCTCGGTCAGCACGTGCATCCAAAGCCGATGGGTCATGTCGTGGCCCTGGTTAACACGCGCACGCATCACGCTGTACACCTCATCTAATTCTCGGTGGTCACAGAGCGTGTAGACGATTATACTGTGTAGCCAATTTTCCACAAATATATCCTTGCGCTCCATCAATGCAACATGCTCGAGCGCGAGCTCAATTTGGTTCTCGCGGAGAAGACCAGCCGCCACAAAATGCCATCCCGCCGGACTCAGCGTGAGCCACCGATCTCGGAGCTTGTTGAGGATTTCCTGTCGAAGGAGGTAGTCTGGATGTACAGCGAGGACCTATAATGGAAATGGAATCGTTAGCTTTGCTTTGCATAGAGTTTAATTCAACTGCATAACCCACCTGCAATGCACCGTGGAGTGTACCAGAATCCGCGGTGATGCCATTACTCTCCATTTCGTCCAGAAGACCGCGCACAAGCTGCGGCGAGCCCCTCTCGTTATCGGTGTTTGCGAGAATCAGCGCCTTGTAGTGGCGAGCATTCGGCTGGACATGACGGTCCCGAATGAGCAGTCGCAGGATCTGCGTTATGTGTCGAATGTTCGGCTTGTTGTCCATTGCATATTGCAATCGGGACTCTAGCCCTTCATTCGTCTTTCCTAGGAGGTCGTCTTGTACCTTATGCGTTCGTGTGTATGCCGGACTTTTACGTCGTGTGGGGGGCCGGGCGTATGTTGGATCTGCAGACAGGCGAACGTCGCGGTACTCATTCTCGCATGGCTCTCGTGGTTCACCCTCACCCTTATTATATGCTGCATTATTATATGAGACCTTGAAACCATCGCAACCTGAAGTGTTGTAGCATCGGTGCGAACCGGAGCTCGGGCTGGAAATCAAAGGTAGTGGATTTAGTCTCGAAATTCGCTCCTTGTATTTGAGAAATACTGTAGATCGACTGGAGTTCAGAGTTGTAAATGATGGACACAGGGAGTACCATAGCCCATCGAGGACCAATGCCCGCCGCGACATTTCCGCTTGTGGCTAACTGATCAGAAGCTTAGCCTCCGCGGATTTGATCTGGAATTTGATATCACGTGATAACAACCAGCATTCACTTCTTAAGTTGCATGAGGTTTACAGGAAAGTACGCAAGCCCGGTTTGATTTTTTGAAACATAACATTCAGAGGTAGTTTTAAATCGACCAAGTGACCCAGATGCCGCGAAAATACAGAGCCAGATACGCCACGGCCATGCTTGATCAAACCGTTTTCACTGGACCTTCCGAGCGACCTCACCACCGTCTCCTCCGGGGGTATCTCGATTGCCGTCTTCTTAAAATCATTGTTGCAGAACAAGCTTATGTCTAATTGGGGCCGCCTCGTCCCCGGCCACGTCCACCGCGGCCACCACCACCCCCCCGACCACGGCCACGGCCGCGATCACCGTCTCGCCCGCCGCGACGGCCTTGTGCTTGGTTCTGTTGCTGCTCTTTGACAATTTCGACAATCTCCTCGGGAACTCGTAGATATTTAATCTGATGGGTTGTTAGCACAAAGTCCGAAGAGCGGGGCTCTGAATTGATTGCTGGTCAGATGGCTTACGTTGTTGCCCCGGATATAGACTTCGGGTAGTCTGAAGAAGCGGTCGCCCTCTGGACTTGTCTGCACTACCTCGCGCAGAATGAGGTTCATGAAGTTATCGCACGTAACCAGGTGGCCATTCAGAGTTTCGCCGTTCTTGAGTTCTACCAGCATGGGATGGCCCTGTGCGGCCGTAAGAAGACCGAGAGGCAGCTGAGCAGAGATGGACTTAGTATAGATCTTGGATAGAGCAGTTGGGTAAAGCTAGAGCTTACCATTCTGATATGCGATCGAAGAGGGGTGAAGGTGGGAGAGTCAGTTGGCGCACAGAGTTGAAGGTGCGCGGCAGGTCCAAAGTCTGTGGCTTATGGATTGGATACCGGAATTAAACCCTAATTAAAGAGATCTGTTGGTTTATTTGTGGATGTTCGAAGTGTACAAAGTAGCAGTGGATTCCAGCTCCAAGAGATGCGATGAGGAAGCCCGGAAAAAGGGAAGTGCCGAGCCCAAATGTGGCCTGGGTTCCAGATGCAAGGAAATTCAAATGCGTTTTTTCCGTGTTCTTCATTTACATCTACTGTTCCACATATCAAATCCTCATAAATCTACTCGGTCAGAGCTTTCATTAACATAAATTAGTGGGTATCAACAAGAATTGAGCTTTCTCCACTTGCAACATCTATTGCCCAGACGAAGAACGTACACAAGCATAATCTTTTGAATGATCCGAAAATGACATTCTTGTGTGCATTACATAGACATCAGAGAGCTCACCGCCGCAAGGCTTTTAAACCCTTGATCGCTTCGCTAGCTCTGTCCCGTCCTTCTCCTCATCATCGTCCTCCATGACCGTGAGCTTGCGCTTGACATGTCGGTCTCGGCTACCGGCAAGAGCTTTACTAGCCTGTTCGTTTGCCTCTGCCTCTTCATCTGATTCACCTTCTGGCAAGCGGCCCTCGAGCGCATCAAGTGTGATTTCGTAGCCTTCCTCCACATTCTGGACCGTAGCATCAAGTTTCTCTACCCGGTCTAGAAGCTCCAGTTCGTTCAGAAGTTCTTTGTGTTTTTTATAGAGACGTTGCTTGGTTAGCATACGCCACCAGTAGTAGCGTCTGTCATCCTCATTGTCGGCTTTGAACTTCTTGATCAACAGTCGAGCGAGGTTTGTGCCACCAGCTAGGCGGTGGCTTTGTGGAATCTGGCCAAGAAGGTACATCTCTAGAATGTGTGCGAACTGTGTAGGTTCAATCTTGAACGATTTGCGTATGTCGTGGAGAAGCTTGGTGGGAATGAGGGCGGAAGTGGGCACATTGCGAGGACGTTTCTTTTGAGAATATGCTCCAAGGGGGTCGGGGTTGAGATTCACGTTGTGTTTCAGGAACTCCGGCCGCAGCAGGCAATAATCGGCTGTGTCCCGCAGCGCGTCAAATTGTTCATTGGGGTCTTCAATGGTCAATTCTAGAATGGTTGGGTCTGCGATGCAGGCCGCGTGGATTGTGGTGTATAGGTGTGTGCCATGGCCGGCGCGGTGGTGTGAAGGGAGAATAAGGAACTGGGCAATGCGGATCCGTGCAGGAAGCTCAGAAATGTCGACTTCTGGTGGCGGGAACTCGTCGTTCTTGACTGTGAGCGTTTGTGATTTATGCCGCTGGTAGTACCAATAGCGGTATGTTGTGGCATATCCAACGATAGAATATGATGATCCTGTTGCTGTTGGAGGGGCCACCTTCTCATATCTATAATTTTGATTAGCGTCAGGTCGCGAATACCAACACAGCAAGGAAAACCCACACAAAATATACCCTCCACCGGTCGAGCGTCCACTCCGGGTCATCTGTCTCTAGGGGAGTTCCGGCTTCTATGAAGAGGGATACGAGAATCTGCATGCGATCCAAAATTTTCCGCACTTTTGCGTCTGCAAGTGATCCAGCCCAGACCTCATATTTTCTGTCATTGACCTCATAGCTGATGACAAATTCGCCCGGGGGCTTGAAATCTTTCGCATCTGGGTCGTTTTGAACAGCTTTCTCATATTCTTGGAGATTGGCAAATGCCTCTGCCCAAAATCGTGGTTAGCTTATATCGCACCAAATTTCCAGAGCTTGAACTTACCTTGCTGGACAAAAGGTTTCAAAGTGTCGAGAAGATCTACAGCAGCTGTGTCACCGATCGACTTGAACTTCTCGTCGTAGGAAATGTGAATATGAGGGCGTAAATCATGGGCCGCAAAGCGCAAGCGGATAATTAAGCCTTTGTAACCGAAGATTTGCTCATCATCGCCAAAGATAGGATAGGTAAATTGGGGATGAAAGGTCGAAATTTTTTGAGGCTTCTTCTCGCCGGGTTGAATGACAGTAACATGGACCGCATCGTTGGCGTTGCAAGACCCTAATGTGAATTTTTTTAATCAGCCTATATCTTGGCAGCATAGCATAGCGGGAGGCTACGAGCTTACATCCAGCTTCGCTCGCCATTTTGACAGGAGATGTGGAGTTTGGAAATAAGACAATGGAAGGTCGTGGTTCAAAGAGAGACGCGACTATACGCGCCCTGGCGCACGCATCAGCATTACCTAATCTGGATCCATGGCCCGTAGCCAACTAACATGTGAGCTGGACACTTCAAAACACATACTCAATGCGATATGAACTACAGCTTGATCTCTCAAGAACGGTAGTCTACAGGGAGCTCCCCCAATACTTTAATGCTCTTGGGTAATATATTGCTTCTCTACGGAGTTTACGAAACTATTGTGACAATGTGACAAGGACATACACATCTGCTTTAAACAACACAATTTTCAATATCATGACATTGCAACCCTTTGATCTTCTTAACATTAATGTACAGTGATAGAAGGCCTTATCAATGGCTATCGACTAGACCTCAAACAAGACCTAACCGATAGCCCCAATGGACAAATTCCTCTCCAGTAGGAAGTAGCGGTAATTCTCTGAGGTTAACACATTGATCTTTCTTCTTCATTGACCGCAATTTTTTCTTTAGAAATAACGAAGGTAAGATTATTACGATGCTGTGCCAGCTGAGGCTCGTCGTCACAACATGTGTCGCATTAGCTTCACTGGTTATGGCTGGTTTCCAGCTCTATGTCTATAATTATGGAGACACTTTGTTAGCATCATATGGGGTGGCAACCTCATGTCTTGATGCATTATAAGTGCAAAAACTCAGTATCAGTGAGATTTTTTCTTTGCTAAAGATTCACAAAACTTTTTTCTCTCATTGACTCATAATGCCGAGATTGCTTGTGCGGCTATTATCCGCAGATGTAAAGAGTAGGAATGACGGCACATCCCTGCCTTGGCCTTCCGCGTTAAATATCTGACGCGCTGGGAATGCTTCCTTGTCGTGCGGAACCTCCAGGCCGGGGCGATTAGCTTAAAACGTGGAGTCCTCACTCAGGTCAGAGAAGAGCGAATGAAGCACTCCTTTGGCACTTAAACAGCATCGAGCTCTGCATTGGTAAAAAATTGGTGCGTCCCGGGATATTGACAAAAGAAACTGCATGCGTGATTCGATCACATCCGTATAGCGGTCCATCGCAGCAACTGTGTGCTATCGATCTGAGCAGCGCAGCCTGCGTGCCAACACCATGATCTAATCTGATGTCGCCAATTCGCTTCTTCCACGGCCAAGTTTCTCTGGTTCCGTGGATCGGCCGTGATTTTTCCCATTCGGAGCATATGGGTCCATTGGGTAAGAATCGTCTCTAGAGGAAACCACATATCCCAATATTCAGCAACAGGCTCGATGCTGTCTCAATTCTCGATGGCTAATGGGGATGAGGTACGATGGTTCAGCTGGTTGTAGAGAACACCAAGACAGTGGGAGCCTAGATCGAGAATAGTGTCGTGAGCGATCATAAACCGCTCTTTATCCTCGAAATCGTTCTCTTCGAAGGGGAAAGACTCGTCGGCAAGTTCCATTCGAAGCCTGCTCGCTCAGTAGAAGAATCCCGGCGTGGAATAATAGATCGAATCAAGGAATGAGAGTCATGTACGAACGGGCGTCAATATTCTCGTTCGTCCGGTTGAAGAATCATGACTCGCGGGCTAGGGCGTCGAGATCGGGTGTATTTGTGCCATTGCGGACCATGTAGGCGTAGGCGTTCAGGAAGTTGTGTAATCTGCCACAGCGTTGAAAATCGAGGTTATCTCTTCATCGCGCGCTGGATTCTCGTCTGGAAACAGAGCATCTTCAATGTCAAGGATCTGTTCAGGCGTGGTGTGGTGTTCACGATGAGGGGCAAGAAAACAGACTGTGACAGTCGAGTGTAGATGGAGGAGTGGCTTTATAATTAAGCATACTACGCAGACGGATAGCGCTCAGGGTTCAAACCCCCCTTTAGGAAGGAGTTTGATGCCCAAATGCCTCAGATAGCACCGCTTTTTACATCGCGCTAAATGGTGTACTGTAAATGATCTATGTATAAAATGAAGCTCCAAGGCACCATACACATATTTGCATCTCAATTTTTGGAGGTGGTTAGCACGCTCACTCTCCCTGGAAATGAAAATAAAGCTTCATATTATGCATTGCCAGTAGAACCACTGTACTTTGATTATTTAGGCATACGAAATAGCAATTCAGGTACTTGGGTTTTTCTGACGTTCTAAAGCGAGGCATCAAGGCATCAGGCCTTTAACTAACTATATCATGAAGTCAAAAATCCAACGTATTCTCTCAAATCACTTTTAATTTACCTTATAAGAAAATTCAAGTCAACCCTTCTTAGTCAATTTGCATTTGGATCTTTTCAACGCTAAACCCTTTTTTGATTTTATATATGCCAAGCTCCTACGGGATCGAGATTCGCGGCGTTGACATAGTTTGACACCTCTATTACATCTTCCGCCATACAAATTCGAGCATCCTGTATCATAGGATGGCATTTCACTTTGGGTTATATTCAGTCAATGAAATATGAGAGAGTCCAGTACTCAGTACTCACACCGCTCTTTGAAGAAGCTTCTTCTCTGCCTGCCCGCCCGTCTATGGACAATATCGTAATCCAATAAGATATGGTATAGATCACTGATATGTATGACTCCAACTAACCAAAATGATAGAATCTGCTCTTTCTTTAATCTATGTGGATAAAGCGAACTAAACATGATATGTAAAGTGTATAAGAGCACGCCATCATAGCGGTCTGAGCATTTTCAGAGGGTTTCAATGCCCTATATTCAACCATGCATTGCAAGATAGTATTCGACAGCACCGTAAAACGGCCTATCGATACAAGAACATGCCTTCGATGCATCACCACTCTCACCGCTCCTAAGTCGCTCAGTCCTGATACTTATTGGCCTCGATGGGAATGTCGCAGCCAGCAGGCATGCGTTCATTCACATAGTCATCGATCCACGGACCCTCCCCTTGCCTTTAATTATAGGAAGAGAGAGATAGTGTAAGGAAGGAGCATAGTTAAGTAAAAGATGTTGTAGTATTGGTGATGTGTAGATGTCGGGTGTAGTTTATTGTGGTGGGTTTATGACTAAAAGGCTGAATGCCTCGATTTATAACAGTAGGAGATGCTCGGGGAGCTCTACTACATGTTAAGTTGAGAGATTGGAGTCTTATTGTTCAAATTTAAATTGGATTGAGTCTGTACAAAATACTGAGTTGTGTTGTATACACTACGCTATCTGTGAGCTAAAAAATCAAGGTGGAGGTTGGTGAGCCCCACAGGTATCTCCCGTACAACATACTCCGTAGACTTATGTATGTTGTAGTCGGTCTGTATCAACAAGGGAACTATCAATGTGGTTATTGGCCTATACAAGGGTTGGTATTATGGCTTGGTGATCTAGTGACTGACTAGGGCTCCCGTGGCGCTGAGAGGCTCTCACAAATCCCTCTTTTTCTATACATCTTTGTAAGGCCGTAGATATATGCTACAATGACCCACATCCTGCATATTTCAAATCCACCAAAAATGCCATATCTAGGCAGGCTGATCGTAGTATTATTTTGCTCATTTGAAAGCGTTGGTGGTATTTTTTAAGCGTATGTTGTACAGTCAAACATACCTACGGAACCCGACTTGCCTGGCCACAGTGGACATTTGTTTCTTATTCCCCCCCCCCACAAAATCATGATTATATAATTAACGGAGTACGGAGCACTGCCTGTCAATAACCTATGTTGTACATGAATTCAAATGCAGTGAGGCGCTCGCCGCTAGCTGAAATTAGGCAGTTCAAATCTATAGTGGCGGTGAGTTAGGTGGGGCTTAAATGTCCACTGACTTTATTGTATACAGCAACATAACGATATACGGAGTACACTACGTAGCAGGGATCACCGGAAACTGCTATCTTAGGCCTAGCGTTGTGGAACCCAAGGTGGCCAAGCCACGGAGTTGCCGTCAGTGCCGCATCCGCGGCTTGGCCTCCGCCAGGGTCGCCCTACAACATTAGCCTCCTGTACTTTTCAAGCCAAAACATCACGCAATCTATCTGCAAGGTTACTCAAAAGTGTCAAAATTGAGATACTTGGTTTAAGGCATTTGGATGGTCCTTTTCATGGGGAAAACCATGGGACCAACAGAACACTACGCAGTGGCGCAGTATACTATGTGCTATACTCCCTAACTACAACATGACCAGGAAGTAAATCATGTGTGCGCGATCGGTGGAACCGTAATGTTACTTATCTCTATCCTCCTTGGCCAATGGTATAACAGATTGCATAGAGCTTAGAAAATAAGCCCGGCTGGCTCTGCAAAGCTTTTTGGGCTGCTTTCCTCCCCATTTTTTCCAGGCCTTGCTTTTCAACTCTGTCTCCGTGATCCGTCCTAGACAATCTTCTTCCATATTTTTGCGCCTTTTGTTCCATCCACCTTTCATTCCTTACCAAACCTGACGTTGTCTAATTATGATCGAGCCTATGACCATGGAGGGAGACACTTCATTTCCCTCAAAATCCTCCAAGTCACCCTCGAATCGGAATTCATTCTTCAACGCGTACCTCATCTGCTCCTCCTTCTGCGCAGTAGCCGGTCTCATCACTGGTGCAGTCTCGCTCCACAAAGTGAAAGAGCTGAAAGCCTTTGAGTTCTCCCAAACTATCATGGACTTGAACCGCACCTTTAATAGCACCGTTTACGCAATTGCAGATAATGGCACGTTCAATCCAGCGTGCAATGAGGCTCCTATAGAGCTGATCACCGGCCAAACGTCTATCCCAGGTCAATGTGTCACTGTCACTGCCAGCTATACGATGTGGGTGGCAAGGCTGGCCATTAATTGTGTACCCATTGCCTATGAGAGCGCAAACTGCACGGGAACTCAGAGAAAAGTTGGTGGTGTTACTGCTCCAGATTGTGTGGTTGCAGCAGGCGCAGGCGAATTGAGTGGGAAGTCCAATTCAATGTTCGAGAGTTTCAAATTGTATTGTTTTTGAATATTGAATATTTGACCATTGGGTCCTTGCAGAATATGGAAATCATCAAACTATTTCCAGACTGTGGCATCAGCACCGAACTAGGATGTTAAGAAGTTTGACCTGAGATAATTTAGGAAAACGGCGCTTTGGAGATAAATATGTGGTGAGACAGTTCCTGTCTCGAACTACCTTGTTCCCCACCTGGTCTGATCTTCCCTCTCTCTCTTCCCATTAACATGATATGAATTTTAAAAAGGTAATTGAAGTTTCCCAAGAAAATTCTGGCTTTTCAAACTGTTGTACTATGAAAGCATTACAAGGTGGATGAACACTGCACACAACCAGAAATCAAGGACGGAAAATAGTAAATTGCCTCAAAGGTTGAATTACAAAATGTGCAGACTAATATGTTGCAGTATGAATAAATGGGGCACTCGCTACGCTTAGTATAAGGGGACACCATAATAATAGTATCGCACACAATTAGAGTGACAGGGGTTTCAAGCCCTGGAGCAACTAGTTTTCAGGCAGTGCACCTTTCTGGCTTTATAACATACAACCAACATAGGTGCTTCTTGACTGTAACCAGTTTGGTAGATGTGGTCCAGTTTTACTGCACTTACAATGGAGGAAGCTGCGAGTACTTGGGTTTCGATTTGGGTAAAACCTTAGGAGGGAGCTGGATTAAAACTTGTCGCACCTTGTGGAATATAAAAAAAATTTTCCCAATGCGCTTCATTCTCAATGATGATTTACACGCGAAGTTGCGAATGTCGGCCACTGCACCTAACAGATCGGAAGTTTCGACATAACTATTTGCCTGGCATTTGTACCTTACTACATCCCATCCATCCAGCATGCCAAAACATTTCTGAACACACCTTTGTGCGATCCACTACGAAAAGCTGATGCCCGGAATGAGGTATGAATGCTGTCTATGTTTCCAACTTCTATTTTTACCCATGTATGATGTTCCACAGCTTCTGGTCTAGTTTCCATTTCCCGACTGATTTCTTCAGTTGAGGTATCATTTCAAAAGCTCGCCGGATCCCCATCGTACATCCTATTCGCTCAAGCGTTCCAACAACCCAATCATGAACTTCATCGGGGATCCCGGCCGTGCCTCCGGCTACTCCTAGTGGGAAAAGCAGCATAAAGGTACCATTCAACAATGGTATATGTGAGGGGTCTTCGGCAACTCCTTGCGCGGAGATAGCTTCCTGACTTGCAGCTCCGGCACATATGTCAGTTGCCATGACAGAAATAGTGTCCAATGATTGCTGCCGTTGAATCACATCATTTGCTGTGGGTCGTGCCATTTTGGAAATTTGGCATACGATGGTCTCGTTGACCAGCAGTCGCGCCCAACGGTAGTGGTTGAATATTCTCGAAATCCACAGATCTTTGTAGATGTGATACCGGCCATTGAAAGTGTATTCGCATGTATTGGATTCTTTCACAATAAATGACCAGTCTCTTGGGAGGTGCGTTTCCCACTCGTGGAGTTCATCTTCAAACAAGAGTGCTGAGTCCACTACTGCTCTAGCATCGGGCTTGTGGTGATGCACATATGCATCGAACTTCGTGAATCTTACCAGTATGTCAACGAGATCGACGCCCGGGAAGATCTCTGGTGGGGCAGATGGTATGAGATCAAGAGACCAGCTCAGTAGATCCGGGGAGACAACTTTCTTCGAAAAATATTTGACAATTGCAACAAGGTAGAATTGTAAGTGGGCCCGGGGGTCCAACTTTGTGAGTGATGACTGAAAGATGGATTGCTTAAGCAAGGCAGCAGCACCATCCAGATGCACTATCCAAGAGTTGAGCTGACTTGGGGTACAGCTGACCATCTGTGCGGGTCAGTTTTTTGTAACGATTAAAAAAGAAAACACTCTTTAACTTAAAAGAACGTACTTCGTATAGACTCAGCATTACGATCAGGTGGAACGTTTTGTCGGGATTGGCCTGAGCGGGATTCTCCACTACTTCTCGCACGGCCTTGATGACCATCGCGTGTTTCTCTCGAGACAAAATCCGCAGTGCTCTGTCATTATTGACATTGGACAAAGCAGCCAGGCCAACCGAGACGACAGCATCTCGACTCGACTGATCGCGAGCAACTACTCCAAAATGAGGAGACGGCTGTACAATAGCTACCGATGGAGAGCGATCTGTCCTGGTGGCCATCCTTGTCACAAAACGGTTCACAAAGAACCTTAACCCCTGATCCTCCAATGAGATGGATAGCGGGGCAGAAATCCTCGGAGGGGTCAGAATCAATGGGCCCCTGCTCCTGCAGAATAGTTCATCTGACGGTGAACGATCGGATCGCGAACTGGGAGTGGATATATCAGATTCTAGTGCTGCACTATCCTCCAGTTTTCGACGGGCCTCGGTCTTGGCTTTTGCCTCTGCACTTCGTCGAGCCGCCTTGTCATTCTCGTCTCGGAACATGAAAGACGGCACGTCCCGATAACCGCCACACGGCTTGCCCGCTCTCCTGCATTGAGAACACACGGGCTCAAGCCGATCACACTAAACCATGTTAGCCCAACACTGGTCTAGTAGGCCACGCCACTTACCTTTATCCGTCTTTCCCGACAACTGCAGCAAGCTTTACTGGGACGACCGTAGAAAGGCATTTTTTTCCGAGCAGATGCGGATGTGTCATATTCAATTCTAAATAGGCAAAGAATTCGTGAGAATCGGAGATGGGTCAATGACTAGTGGCTTAGATTCTCCACTTTGGTAGCTTGGCATCGCCCTTTCCTAATAGGGTATCTGTTTCATCACGTAGTCTAACACAGATGTTGTACATAAACATAGTATTTTAACCATTGTCTTGATTTGCGGCTATTTCATCCAGGAGTTTACCATGACACCTGGATACTTCCCATTCCATCCCCAGACTGGAGATGTTTCACAACGAAATCCCACACTGTTTGGTTGTCGGTCAGGACACCCACAGTCATCGCCGAAGCGACAAGGCACAACTCTTGAAAAATGTTATGCTCCAACGGCTCTTCATAGTTTATCCATCCGCAGTGTATCGGGATGAAGAGATTACTAGCCATCTCTTTGACGCCTGGAAAGACATCGTTCGCCACGAGCTGGTTGTCACGGAGGAGTTCAGCTACATTTGCGAGTTTGTACCCCTGCAGGCCAGCTGTCAGGTACCGGCCGTCACCACCGTCGAGTGCGGTGAGAGTGGTCGCTCATGCATGCAGGATTTTGCTAGCGGCATCGGCGGAGCTTGTGCTTCTGGAAATTTTCCAGCTTAGGTGGACAGCAAAGACCTAGATTGAATGCTGTCGCAAGAAAAAGGCGACCATTGCAAAGCGAAAGGTGATATAAATGAAGATCAGTTTGTCACGAGAAAGGAGTGAGCGAGGTTAAAACTGAAGCCAAGCAATATCAATGAAGGAGCGTAGTTTCTCTGATTAAAAAGGAGACTTATTCGAGATCTACAACATATCTACTTGCTCCGCTCTTCACCTAAAACAACTAGGATCCATCTGACAAGAAACACCGATGATTTGCCGAGAAATACCATAACCCTCTCTGGAAAAGGTACGATTGCTAATGTATTGAGAGCTACATATGCTTGATTGTACAAGCGAATAGTTTTGCACTTTTTGAGCCATCTACGGCCAAGTCTTCTAATTCTTCTAATTATAATACTAACGAAGAGAACAGACATTATTTTTTTTGCTTCTTTTAAAAACAAGAGACACCCCTAAGAATGGGATTCATTTGCAATCATCCAGGACGTGAGGTTCTAGAATCGAACACAATCCCCCACCGGAGGTCCTACGCACATCGTTTTGACCTTGGGACTGTAAACAGGTACCAACAATGTATCTAAGTAGATGCCAGTATGTGAGAATCGGCCACTGGGGAGATTGACTGCCGATGACTGGGGCTCAGACTCTCTAAACGACAAAATTTTGGTAGAGACTTGGCACCGCCTTGCCTAATTGGGTATCATTTTCATCGCCTACTCTATAACCAAAGTACCATAATGTTTAAACTGGCCATTGCTTTTCATGGGAGCCTGGTTATTCGAAAAAAAATTTAGAGCGTCAGACGTCAGTGCATATCATTCATGGTGCCGAGAGCCATGCGATTGACAGGTCCAGCACTTGCCAGAAAAGCCTCCCCCGTTGGAAAGTCTATCAACTTTCACTTTGACTTTGCTACTTTCTAACAATTCACTTGTTCTCTTACAGCTTTCTCACAGTCATTTCAAACACAGATATCACATTGAGAGATCGAAGATTTCACTTTCAATCATCCCAGACGTGGGTGTTTTCTACAATGTCTATCATTAAACGTGTGACGCACAACGAGACAACAACTCCCTTTTATCTTTATGATCCCTCCCTGGCAGTGGCAATTGTTGCCGCTGTCTTGTACACCATTGCTTTTCTGTTGACAACTATCCAATGGATCCGGTACAGGGCCTGGGTCTGGAGCATCATGGTGCTATCGGCTGCCAGTACGTTCGCATTTGGTCTGTCATTCAATCAAGCTAACCTACCACTCAGTGGAAGCAGTCGGTTACATTGGCCGATGCGTCTCGGTCCAAAATACGTCAGAGAGGCCCGTTTACGTGCTTCAATTTGCCCTCATCATCCTTGCACCCGTCCTCATGGCAGCGTGTTGCTATGTCATCTTCGGTCGTATTTTATTTCTTATCGTTCCCCAAGAGGCACGCACGCTTCGACTATGCTGGGTACCCCCCCGATTTATTACACCCATCTTCGTCGGGTGTGACATCATTGCTCTCCTTCTTCAGCTTGGCGGTGCGGTGATGATCTCTGCGGTTGATGCCAAAGACAAGGATGCAAAAAGTAAACTTACCACCGGAAAACATGTTGCACAAGTCGGTGTCATCATTCAGCTGGTTGCCTTTGGCTTGTTCGCAGTCGCAGCTGTCCGTTTCAACTTCACATCCAAGCGTTTCAGCGGGTCTCTGAGTGAGAGGTATGAGAATGTGGGAGAAAAGAAGTGTATCGTTGGTGGCATCGTCAAAGATAAGAACTGGCCTGCTCTCTTGCGGGTAGTCAACCTTACCACGATTTTGATTCTTGTCAGTCCTTCACCTTCTACCACTGTTCACTCGCTAACTTGCACCAGGTTCGATCTATCTACCGACTTATAGAGTTCACAGAAGGCACGAAGGGATATCTGAGCACAAATGAGTGGCCCTTGTATGTCTTTGATGCCCTGTGCATCTATCCGTGTGTTGCCCTTTTCGTCTACTGGCACCCAGGAAGATACTTGCCGTACTTGGGCTTTCGACTACCAAAGGGTTCACAAAGTAGCCGTGACTCGGAGATTCAGATGCCATGAGGATCGCGGGGCAGATCAGCCTTCGATCTGTGATACGTGATCTTCGCAAATTCTAGTGGAGCATGTGCTGCTGTGCTCTTTTATTTCAACATGAAGTATTACTGTGATTCATATATTTGGATCAAAGCTCGACGATTATTGGCTATAGCATAAAAAGAAAAAATAGGGACATGTGCAAATCAATTTAAGCAAGGATGGTTGCACTCGGCCCTGTATAGTCCAGTAAGGCCAGCTGTGTGGCTGGGGAACATACATAAGCTTGACATGTTTTATGATCCGCCCAAAGCCCTTTATGTAAATGCTTTAAATGGCCTTGTCGAGTAAATCCCTTCTAAATACCCGTTGGTTGTCCTGCGCATCCTGCATACTTCCCCCTAGTATGTTTTGAAAGCGGTTCCTGAACTACGTGGGTCCCGGCCTGGATCCTTCCACCACTACCTTGGCCTCTTACGCAACCACCCACTCTGCCCAGACTCTCTCTGGACCTTCTCTTCAATTCCCCTCACCATGCTAGACAGTCTATAGAGTGAACTGCGAGATCACCATGGAGGGACTATTCACTCTGCTCGCCCTGAGCATTGTGATGGCAATTACGTGAGCTGCCTGTGTTTGGAAATTGGATTCAAGCTAATGATCCAAATTATTGGCAGATCTTTTGTCGTCGGCTCATTACCTCTGGCTTTTACGCTGTCCCCCTCTCAACTCCGCTTAATATCATCCATTGGCATGGGAGTTTTAGTGGGGACATCGTTGATCGTCATCATCCCCGAGGGTATTGAAACTCTCTACAGCGCAAACTCCCTCACTCGTAAGCAACACAACACACGGGCTATCGCTATCGAATGGGAGCATCAGGCCCCGGCCGTGGCAGCCACCTTTGGCCCCAACGGAGACAGCGCCTCAAACCGACCGTCCGATGCCCCTGCCGCAAATCTCCTTTCGAAAAGAGATCAACTGTTCGAGTCGCAAACACTTTATGTCCGAGGCGAGGATTCGGCGGATGAAACAACGGGTAAGGAAACAACTCACGGAGAGGAAGAGAGCTCGCCACATGCATGGGTCGGAGTCGCCCTCGTCAGTGGTTTCATTCTCATGTACCTGGTCGATAAACTGCCCGAATTCGCAGCGCCGACCAAGAACGAACGAATCCCTTACCACATCTCCTTGGACAACCTTGGATCCGGGCTGCGACGGGGTTCTTCCCCCTCTCGCGAAGGGGGACTCCTTGATGCGAACCACGCGTCCAGACGTGGCCACAGCTTTGCGACTACGACTGGCCTAGTGATCCACGCCGCGGCGGACGGTATTGCTTTAGGTGCCTCTAGCTCGGATGCCGGGCTCAGTTTCATCATCTTCTTGGCGATCATGGTGCATAAGGCTCCAGCGTCCTTCGGATTGACGTCCATCCTACTCAAGCAAGGATTGTCAAGTCGCACCGCCAGGGCGCACTTGCTGGTCTTCAGTCTGGCAGCTCCTTTCGGTGCCTTGGCCACTTTCCTCTTTGTACAGATGATGGGATCTTCCAGTGCCGATGGGGCAGGCACTCACTGGCGCACTGGAATGCTACTGCTTTTCTCTGGGGGTACCTTTTTGTAAGTCTCCTTTCACCGAGGATATTGACCTTGATTTATTAATCTGTGTAGGTATGTTGCGATGCACACCATGCAAGAAAACGGCCCGGGCTCATCCCCACGTGAACTTCCCATCAACGGATATGGTGACCGAGACCAGAATGCCTCGGATAAGTCTATGAGAGACTTGATTGCATCTGTTTTGGGCATGATCCTGCCGCTGTTCTTGCAGATTGGACATGCTCATTGAGCAAGCACCTTGTGTATTCCTTGGGGAGGGGGGATGATACAGTGCTTTTACATTTTTGCTTTTCAACTAGACTTTGGAGGGCTTATACTCATTTCAAAATACAGTTTGAAGATGAATTGCTGTAGCTGAGACAAATTGAGATCAGGGAGGATATGTTTGAATAGATTTCCTTGTATAACTGCTGGGTGTTATTTTGGTCATAATTGCATGGTATTTCACTATCTCACGATCACATCTACGTAGCGTCACTGTGCCATATTTAAAGCCTGACAGGTCCTCCCTCCCGACGCCTTAGCTTCCCCAGGGGGTCGTTGATCTTTTTCAGAATGTCGGTGATGACATGATTCGTCAGTTTCGTCAGTCTGAATCATCCCGTTGTTCACAAGTTCCATGGTCCATTTCCGATAGCCGCATGCCAATCCAAAGCCTTGGGTCTATATTGTTTTAGGTATCGTGAGCATCGTGAGTATCATGTGCATCGTGAACACCAGGTTGCCTTTCACAGTTCACGATATTCGGCCCTAGAAATCAATGACACGGTCTTGGGCCAAACCAGCTTTGAGTTCAGGTTCTCGACGCCTCCCCATTGCCTCTTTTGCCATGAACCCCCAGAAAAAAAATATCAGGCAAATCAGAAGGCAAAAAAGATGCTGAGAGAAGAGGTGACCTATGCCGGATGCATAAGATCCATATTATTCTCATCTGATTAGTCCCGGACAGGCCATGCTTTGTCAGATCACGACACCTCCGCTTCAAAGGTCCCTTTTCCTCATCGCCTTTTTTCATTGGAAGTTGACTTCGAACTTTGATTGAATGAAAAGAAACGGGAAAAAGTGATTCATTTGAAAAAGAAAAAACAAACGTGCGGCCTCGATACCCCCGGAGGATTATTGCTCTCACCTCCCTCCTTCCCTCGGCCGTTCGCCAGCCTCTCCTCATACCCCCGAATCTCAATATCTCCAACTTCTGACTCGCTCATAACCATATGCCGGCCGTGAAATCTAGGGGGATTAGGGTGTCGTATCAATAAATACAAAACGGACAAGTGGGAGGATCATCCTCAACTGTGGCGGTCTCCCCCCTGTTCTGTCGCCATGGACTCCCATCGGGCATCATTCAGTGACATGGAAGATGGGTCGAATGCGCATATATCAGACCAGTTGGGCTCTCATAACCAACCGTCCCACGACCCAGTCACCAATTTTGCTAGCACCCCATCCAGATCACTCAGCACTAAGACAACCGTCACTCCTTTACCCGTCAGCCTACTTCCCTCGGCGCCCGCATCACCTCCGACACCCGCGCCCAGCCCTACCCCCCATCAACGACCACCAACTTGGCACTCGACCGATGATGAACAAACAGGCTTTTTGCTGAATCTTCGCATTCACTTCAGTACCCTATCCAACGCCCGAAAACAGAAACTTCTGGAGGGCCTTCTGGACGCATGCGACAGCCAGCAGCTGAGCTTTGTCTCGAGTTACGTCGGTCCTCGGTTGAGGAAAGATCCATTTCAAGTTTTCCCTAATGAGCTATGTTTAAGAGTGAGTCGTTTGGTCGGGTCTTTTACTACCTCAGTACTAATGTTGAGTCTGCTCAGGTTCTCTCCTTCATCGACGACCCCAAGACACTCGCCCGAGCTTCGCAAGCATCACGGCGTTGGCGAGAATTACTAAACGATGATATCACTTGGAAAAATCTATGCGAGAAACATGCATACTCGGTGCGGCGGGTTTTGGAAGATGAAGGGGATCTCATCGACCCTTTCACTGCCCATCCGGTAGACTCGGCTTCCAGCGCCCGCACCTCCGGTAGGCTACAGCGGCGCTTGACAGGGTCAAATAGCCACGCCACCGAGAGCGCGCCAGATCTTGCGCGCACATTTTCCGGGGAATGGTTGCCTCCGACAAGCTTCTCCCGAAGACGTCGAACCCGACCTGTCTCATATCGTTCACAGTTCAAGCAAAAATACATGGTTGAGTCAGCATGGAATAAAGGTGGTCGCTGCACTCAGCGCCACATCACTCCTGACCAGGGTGTGGTGACAAGTCTTCATCTCACTCCGAAGTACATAGTCGTTGCGCTGGATAATGCGAAGATCCACGTCTATGATACCAACGGCGACAACCAGAAGACGCTTCAAGGTCATGTGATGGGAGTGTGGGCGATGGTCCCGTGGGATGACATTTTGGTTAGTGGAGGCTGTGATCGCGAAGTTCGAGTATGGAACATGGCTACTGGGTAGGACAGGCCCTCCACGACTTGCGCAAACGGAAACTAACGCATGATAGGGCGGGAATTCATCTCCTTCGGGGCCACACATCAACAGTCCGTTGTCTAAAGATGTCGGATCGGAACACAGCAATCTCGGGATCCAGAGACACTACACTTCGTATATGGGACTTGGCTACAGGGACATGTCGCAACGTCCTCGTCGGGCACCAAGCTAGCGTGCGGTGTCTGGCCATTCACGGTGATCTAGTCGTGTCGGGCAGTTATGATACGACTGCGCGGATATGGAGCATTTCCCAGGGACGCTGTCTTCGCACCCTTTCAGGGCATTTCAGTCAAATATACGCTATTGCCTTCGACGGCCGGCGGATCGCGACGGGAAGTTTGGATACTAGCGTCCGGATCTGGGACCCGCATTCTGGGCAGTGCCATGCAATTCTACAGGGCCACACGTCTCTGGTCGGTCAGTTGCAAATGCGGGACGACACGCTAGTCACAGGTGGCTCCGATGGCTCTGTCCGTGTTTGGTCGTTAACCAAGATGGCACCTATTCACCGTCTCGCGGCCCACGATAACAGTGTCACCAGTCTTCAGTTTGACAAGACCCGCATTGTCAGTGGTGGCAGCGATGGCCGCGTCAAGGTTTGGAATCTAGAGACTGGCCAGTTGTTGCGGGAGCTTTCTACTCCGGCCGAAGCGGTTTGGAGGGTTGCTTTTGAAGATGAAAAGGCTGTAATTATGGCAAGCCGCTCAAGCCGCACGGTTATGGAGGTGTGTGCTATGTTCCATTTTGTGGAGATATGTTTTCTAATCTGGATCGCAGGTCTGGTCTTTCTCTCCACCACCAGAAGACTACGAGGACACAGCGATTGAGAGTGCTTTAAGCACTCCAGGCCTAAGCTCTGCTGATGACCGCGAGCTGGCCGTTCCAACTCGACGTCGTACACTTTGCTCCGTCCCCCTACCATTAATTCCATTAGGCACTGATAGCGATGCACTTATGCCAGATGCACCCTCCTAATTCCCAAGCATCTACTGGTCTGAATTGATCTAAATGTGCTTTGACATCCTACCATCTAACGATTACGCATCTCCCTTTATTCTGTCATGTTTATCTCCCCATCTTTTTTGAGCGCGGTGTGTTTTTTGGTCAACAGTGGGTGCTTTGCCTTCAGAATGAGCTGCCGGCGTTCCTCCCTAGGTGTGTCTAGAGCACCAAGCGGTTGCATATTTGGAGTTGCAAATCTGTTTGGTTAAGTGTGTCTTGATTCCTTGCCAAGACTGGAGAAGTTGCCACATTGGAGTTGTTTGTGTGTTGATCTTTTTCACTTGTTTTTTTTTATCTCATATCGGCCATTTCGGTGTTTTGTGGTTGAGTACATGATACCTTTTTTTTTTGAAAGAGCTGGAATGTTATTTATACACCATCTAGTCCGATGAGATCTATATCACGTACATTCCCAAATCTCCCTTGGACAGTCATCGTTTTTGGCCTTCGCAAAACCTCACCTCGGCAGACCTGGAGAATGACTAAGCGGCTTACTCCGGGGCTTGGGAAATGGAACTTGACGACCTTGACGCGAACTCTCCTACATTATTTAATTTTGCTCTTGAAATGCCATTTGTACATGCTTGAAAATGTGCATGTGCGTTGCCCGGACTAGGCAGCCGAGTTGATCGTTTACAGCCGATGACACAGCCGTCCTGAACCTTTGTGAAACCCAGATCGAGTCCGACCTGTCTGCAACCCGTAGCTACCTTTGCGGTTTCCGTCAAAACACCCGCAAGCCTTAAAAGTTCGTTAGACGACTGCCTGCGGGTGAACAATGGTCTATGGGGGCAAACCAAGTACCGGATGTTACCTGTGTCGCAAGCGGAAGATAAAGGTATGCCCCAAGCTTCAACCTTTCTTTTTTGTTTTTTGAATTACCCCGCCAATGAAGCTACATTGTGTCTATACTATGTAGTCCTGTCTGTATTCTCTGAAAGATCGAATGCTAAATGTCCTCCTTTCAAGTGCGATGAAGCACACCCGGAATGCCGGAACTGCATTATCTATGGCCGACCATGTCCAGGGTACCGGCCGGATGCTGTCTTTCGCAACGAGACCAGGAAGGTTGAGCGGCTCGTAAAGAGCAGTGCCAGCGTAAATGCCCACGGCAATTCCGACAGCCAAGACAGCTCCTCAAATCCGAGCTCAGCTATGTCAGCCATCTCGCACCGCCAACGCGCAAGCTCACATGGGAAACTCCATGGCAAGACTGCACTGACGCTATACTCGCCCGCTGACTCCAGCTGGGAACAACGAGCACTGTGCTACTTCTTTGATCAGTACACCATCAAAGCCGATTCCGAGGACGGCGGACATCTCGAATATCTGCCCCCGCTGTACGCACGCGAGCTAGGTCGCCAGAGCGGCGAATCGCCGTCTACCTGTTTGCGCTGGGCAGTCGAGGCTACGGCGCTGATGACCCTTGCTAATGCGAAGAATGCGCCACCTCTTATGAATAAGGCGCGGCAGGGCTATGGGCGGGCACTGCGGGGTTTGCAGGAGGCGCTGGCGTCGCCGGTTAATGCGGTCAAAGACGAGACGTTTGCTTCGGTTGTTTTGCTTACGCTGTATGAGGATATCTCGGGTGAGCGTAATGGGCTGTTTAGCTCGCATACGGCCGGGTTTGAGTTCCTGACGAAACTCCGTGGAAACACCCTGATAGATCACCCGCGTGGACGAGATATGCTTACTTTTGCTTATGCCCACACGGTAGGTTTGATGTGAGGCTCTGACATCGGGACCTGGCATCTGTGACTTAAAATCGGTCCTAGACTGACCGTTGTACAGTATGTTGAAATCCTCGCGCTGGGAGATACGCTTCGCTTCGACATCGACTTGGTCCTCGGCATGCTAGACATTAGCAGGCCAACCGAGCGCCTCATACTCTCTGCATCAAAGCTCTGTCAGTTATTCCTATACATAAGCTCTTCGCCAAAACCCCCCGATCAAGCTACCGTCGAATCATGGATCACAGCCGGCCGCGAGTGCGACATCGAACTCTCTCAGTGGACACAAACCCTCCCAGACCGCTGGCTCCCACTAGTCGTCTACTCACCACAGGGCGAGCCTCTCCTAACCTACAAGCGCCTCTCCAACGCCGTTGTCTGGAACTACTACCGCGCAGTGCGCGTGATGGTACAGCAGCTTCTCCTCGGTTTAAACAGCACACTCACCTCCATCAAAGCGGCCAACAAGCAAGTCTCTGATCCCCGGAATATCAGCAGTTCCGAGGCAGAGATGGATTCCGTTCTCGACGAGCCGGCCCTGAAAGCCCTCATCTGCGAAATGACCACAGACGTCTGTCGCAGCATCCCATTCGCGCTTGCCGACGTCGATTCCCTCGGTCGCCCGAATAAGTCAGATAGCCCGTTGCAAATGCGCGCTGCGCAGGGTTACGGCTTGGTTTGGCCCCTCTGGTATATTCTGTCCTCGGGCATGCCGACTCCGGCGCAGATAGAGCTGATCCGCACTGTGCTGTCGCGTGTCGGGTCCACGCTGGGAATTAAATTGGCGCTGGTCCTTGCTCGTGAGCTGGAGCGGAGATTAGGATGACACGCAAGGCGAGATTCTTTCGAGGTTTACCGCGCGGTGCCTGCAACTCGCTAACCAACCTCGACGCAAGCATTTTACTGATGCAAATTGCGGGAGATCCGAGGACTCTGCTGTAAACTGTCATCGTGCCAATGTCACTTGGCATCGATGAGTGGATCAATGGGCTGCTGGTAGGATTCTAGGTAAAGAAAACGATTTATTTTGGACAGTTCCAGTCATTATAGGCTATGATAGACGAAGGCAGATTGGCGTCAGACCAGACCCCAGACCGTCTACAACACGGCTGGGTAGACTTCGAGTCAATCTGTGGATATTTCAGAATCAAATTCAAAAAACTTGTGAATATCCGAGTGCGCTCAATAAACAGCAAACACATTCTCCTCGTCTGACTGCTCGTCATCCGACTCCGGCAAGAACCCTTTTTAAAGCAGTGCTGCCTTCATACGACCGTCCACAGTGGGCGGTGGGCTATTTAGATTTTCGAGTGTCCGTCCATAACGCCCACGGCCCACGGGCATGCCCATCCCGGGTATGCCTACTGTGCCCACCATTGCATAAAGTCACCTAAAATAGACGTATAACTCGCTAACTTTTTATAATAAATAACTGTTATCTATACCTATTTTGCTTACTCTATGTAAAATCGCGGTTTAAATCTGCAGTTTCTATAAATTTTACTATATAAAATAATATATTTCGATTCAAAATGTCACGGTGCGAACCGTGACACCTCCGAGCTCCCAACTGTCAGGGTGCGGGCTGGCAGGACGGTATGATAGGAGATGACTGGCAGGGACAGGTCGTAACAGATCAGATTCACATTG